TACACGTAGGGCAGTAAGTAGGGTACAACTCACTCTAACAGCTATAATTTGGTCCCCAACGGACGCTTAACAATGATAAGCACATGGTTGAAAAGCGAATTGAAAGAGCTTTCTAATGGCGTGGGGGAGAACGGCGTACGTTGAATATTGATCGATATTCATGTACGTATATCCGTATTCAAAAATGTCCGATATTTTCGGCCGGAAACGCGTGGCCCACGCTATACGATATGTTTTTTGGGAAGCACTTTTAGTGGTACTAAGAAGGACTCTGCAGCAGGCTCATTGAAATTATATATTCCCCCCTCCCTTTTGCACTTTGGAATCCCATGGATCAAAATTTTCAGTTTGGAGCCCATTGACTCCTGTGTTTAGGTGTGGCCGGGCCCCCATTTACCTTCGTTCGTCGAACGTACGAGTACCAAGTACAGTACTTTACGCCACAGTATTAATTGAGCATTTTGCATTTTCTATTTTATCCCGTTTTCTACGGAACATGAGCTATTTTTATTACTGTACTATGATCTTGTAGGACTCATACGATAACATAAGTGCTACTGTACTCATCGGTTTACTCACGATTTAAAATTTCTTGCCCTGGAAAAGAGCACGCGCCGTATTAGTGAGCTATCTTTTTGGCAGTCTTCCTTCATGCTGTCCTTCTCTCTGCCTAGTTCTCCAGCCAGATGCAACATCAAAATACAAGAGAACACAAGACAACGAATGACCTTGCCAGCAAAACAATCAATAAGTAAGAAATATAAACGCAACTTAATTCTTCAATTATGACGTTTCTCGACACACCAGTCTGCAAGTGCTGTGGCGGGAACAACAAGACCACGATCGGCGACGTCTTCAAGCTTATCATACCAGTGGCATGGAGCACGGTTGCTTTTATGGCATGCCTCGCCTATCTGATCTCACCCCTTTCGCGGGGCGATACTCCTCGGTGGGGAAGCGCCGCTCTCGTGGCTCTGAGTGGAGCGGCCGGAACCGGTTTGTCGATCGCTATCTATAGTTTCCACAGAACCACATCTTCCTTTGCTATCGACGAAAACTATGTGGAAAGTAGCAACGACGGAGATGGGGAAAGAGAACAAGACGAAGATCAGCAAGGGACAACCAAATTGGAACCACCGATGAAGAAGATACAAAGACAAAAGATGTTACAGATCCATGCCGTCTTGGCGCTTGGCCTTTCGATTTTATCGATAATTCTGGCTATATTTTTTGGTGTGTTTGCCTCTAATCTCAACAAGTGCGCGCACGAAACCTGTGGAGCCGACGTGAGCTGGAGTTGCATCACGTTGGTAGTTTCTGTTTTGTGGATGGGTATCACCTACCTGGGATTCAAGCATCTACGGCAGCAGCTGTTGCCCGAAAAGGACGCAACAAACAATGAGAACGACCAAGGACTGGAGATTCCCTGACGGCGAAATCCTCTGCGAACTTTCAGCGACACACCAGTCTTCTAAGTGGCTAAAATTTAGGTATTCTAGCTATATGCGCGTGTTGCTGCAAAATGTTCTTGATTTGATGTGGGAACGAAACCGACCGAATGCTGGAATGCTGACTGTATGAATGTTATCACGCTTGAGTATTGCATGTGCCATAATGTTACTGCTACTACTAGTATGATTGTTTTGGATCATGTAACAGCTGATAGCAGCGTTGCTAGTAAGAATGCTTTTGATTTACTGTAGGAAGCAAGATGGAGTTTGAAATGCAATTTGTAATCTTCCTACTAACAGGCCTAAGTGTTTTCTTTCATACATCATTTTCTTCGTACTTGTACTAGGCAAAATCATGGAAGTCGAAACATAAAAAGAAGTCCAAAACAGTTTTGACTGTAATTGGTTCTTGAAGAGGAAGAGGGGTCTAGGGGGTGGATTTTCAAGAAACTACTCAGTTGGCTGTTTTTAGTTGTAGAGCTGGTATGGTTTTGAACTGTAAGAAACATTGTATCAATAAAGTTATGGGAATGAGATGCAAGCTTAAATGCTGGTTGCATGCGACTACATTGAAAATACAGTGCCGGCACCTTCGACTTCCACTGCCACCCAAGCAGACCAATCATCAGTAATTACTTCCCTACCGTAGTAAAATACAATATTATTTCCATCTTTCACCGTACGATACCGCTAGGTCATTTCTATCATTTCTATTCTTCCTACTGGTACGACACTCGGGATTAAATGAATCATGAGTATTCGAATAATCTTAATTTGAATTTGTCTTTGTCTTCGGCAGAACTCAGTTGCTTCCATATTTCAGCTATCTGCTAAAGTATGCCAGTGGAACGAAATAATCTGACATTTCTTGATGTGAACCATAACCAGGACGACGTTATCGTAAGTCTGGAATCATGCAAAGTAGACAGGCAAAACATATGCTTTACAAGTGCTAAGAAAATGCCTCAATCAAAACGGAAGACGTCGAGGACTATTACTGGCAGGATAGCAGCGTCACATTCGTCGCCGTCCGTCAAACATGTCCCGAACCACTCGGAGGACCACACCAATCACAACGACGGTAACGGCAACGGCAACGGCAACGGCAACGCCAGCGACAGTGACAACAACAATGACAGTAACAATGAAGCCCTCGGTTCTGGTTTGGCAACTTTTTTTGGCGACTTTTTTCCCTCTCAAAAAGATGTGAATGGCAGGCCCATTGGATTTTCTACCAATCTCTCCCTGCTTCCAACCAATACAGAAACCCAAGACGCCAACGATCTCACCGACTCAATGGTCGGGGTAAAATATATCCACGGTGGCTTGACGCATGAGCAAGGGATAGCTTCCCAAAACAACTACGTGGCGAACTACGTGAAGCGGCGGTTGTGCCCCCTTTCGTTGCAACACGACGAAGAATCATCGTCGGAATCGTCGTTTGAAGACGGCGGCGACGTTGGAGAAACAATGGAGCCGGAGTCCCAACCTGTCATGGAGACCCAAGAGCCAGTAGATCTTTTTTCACCATCCCGAGGAGACGTGACAAGTGCAAAGAAGCGGACGAGGAAGAGGAGACGACGGCCAATTGTCCCGTCCATCGAAGATTGCCTGCACGACGTGACGAAGCTAAAGTATATAGACTTGTATACTCGAACTCTGACTCTAAATCTATCTCGCATTGACGGGATCTGGAAGCTGCGAGACACCAATCGATCCGGGGCCTTTGCCAATTCAAACATCGCAAAACCCGCTTTTGAACTTTTTGGTACGACTTCTGGAACGCGGCGACCCAGCGACCAACTTCCACGAAAGTTTGCATTTGAATACGGCGAAGAAGATGGCCCTCTTGCTACCATCTACCAGCAGGTTTTTCATTTGGAGCTGGAACAGCTCCAAATAGATCCATCGATAGGCGTTGGTGGCGTGATTGGTGGTCCAAATGAAATGAACCAACCTCGTCAACAAAGAATAAAAGTTTTTTTTTACAACTCCTATGCTACGACTGTTTCGGAGTGGATCAAGGCGCAACAACAAAAGGAAAAAGCAAAGCAAAAGGTAAACCACACCGAGGTTTTGAACACAAACGGTACCTCAGTTCCATCTACCACCACGAGCACTACTAGTGCTTCGACCGGTATCGCAATGAGTTTGTCCAACGTTCCGGCCATTTGTATTTTCCCGCGCAACACCGATCCAAGGAACTGGAGAGAACGACAAGAAGTGATAGATTATTGCCTGTGCATTGGTGATCGATCCACTGGACCCAACCAGATTCGTTTCGATTCCAACGAAATGGAAATTCGATTGATGCCAGTGATCGGCGAATTAGCAACAACCCGGACAACAACAGCAGCTGGCTGCACCATCACAAATGATGCTCGAGAGTACCTAAATGCCTCATCCGAGTTGGTTCTATCGAGACGTGCTCTTACTAAGGAGTTTCTGTCCAGTGACGACGGGACCACGGATAGCAGAGAACGCGTGGCGCAAGAAGCGACAACCACCGGCGAGATCACCAACCCGTTGCAAGAGAGCTGGGCTGTGTATACGAATCATCGGAGCATTAGGACTTGCACTAACAAAACTAACAACGGACTCGTCGTGCCGCAACCAGGGACCACTTTGACCGCTCCAGAAAACATAGAGGCAGGCATTGCCAGTCAACATTTTTCTTCGCGTTCGGAGAACGATCCTAACGAACCCTCGCTTGGCGAGCGAAACCAACGCCAGGAAGTGCCGCCTCGGTCTCATTCTCCGCGACATAATAGAAATGGCAACAGTGAAGGGGAACCAATGATATTTAAAGGAATAGCTCAACGAATATCGGACTCTCCACATGTCTGTTACCCACCACTGGTGCGTCTCGTATCTACATTTTGAAAATGCAAATCATGATTGCAAGACATGTTTCTCATAATTTCAACATTCATTGTTTGATTCTATATGCAGGCCGAGTTTTTGGACACGGTCCGTTCGAGCATGACTTCTGGCAGGGGTTGTAATCTAAAGGTCAATTTATACGCTTCCATTGTGGGCACTACCCCTCCCAAGATGACGAAACGAGGAGACTGGATGATTTCGGCAAACCTGATCGACGAGTCCCATCAAACTCCACCAGTCACGATAAATATTTTTTGCAAAGACAAAAAGTCGCTCCCCGAATTGGTATGGATGGGAGACGTCATTCGGATTCACCGTGCGTCCGTAGAGGTACGAATGCGTGGTTGCTAACAAGATCAAAAACTCTTCTTTGCTGTGTTTCGAATGTCTAATCATTTTCGTTTTGTTACTCGACAAAGGTATGGAACGGAAAGATACAGCTTACAGGGTTGAAGCCAACCCAGTACGTTGTAATCCGAAAGAATGGGTCCAACTGGGAAGCCCATCCTACTGCCCTGCATCAATTCTCCTTCAGCGTATCGGATATCAATCGATCACAAGCTCTCTGGCGTTGGGCAAGGGAGTGCTTGAAGGAACACCAAAGCATTAAACCCGAGCACTGCTTTACCTTGTCAGATTTACAAAAAGTGAAGAAAGAAGACGACGAAGCCACGTTTCGAAATCGAGATATTACCGTCATGGTTATCGAAAAGCTTCGATACAAGCCTTCCGATGTCAATCCCCAAGGATTGCTCCGTGTTTGGGATGGTACAGGAAATCCACCATCGGATCCGTAAGTTATGTTGCGATAATAGATACTCTGATCCTGAGATTCATGCGTATGTGCGGACGAACGAACAAACGAACATACATGCATGCACACGCTCGCAAACAAAATGGCTTCGACTGCGTCCGCACTAATAGACTTTGTTTGTCTCGTCACAACTTTTCCAATCATCAGTCTCTTTAAGCAATCTCAATTACTCACCCCGGAATCCGAAAAGCAACGCGGAAAGGCATACGCAAGAGCTCTCGATCAAGTTATTCGCACGTCGCAACAACTTCAGGCATCCGTCGACAACATGGGGGTACCGATCTCACTTTGTGGTTGTTTTTCGAATGTCGTGGTATGGGAGAAAGCGCACTGGGATCTCATTGACCGGCACATTCCTGTCGGCACATTTCTCCGGTTGAGAAACGTCATGATTCCACAGGAATGGCAAGAAAACCAGTCTCGATGTGAGTATTGGTTTCAGTTTTTGTGTTTTTGGAACAAATGTTATGATACTTGTATCTGTTTGTCTTGGCCGTCACGTGCTACTCTGTATTCCTTTCAATGGCTGCGCCCTTTCTCGTCGCTGATTCTTTGCCCTATGCCTCTCTGATAATGTTTTTGCTTTGTTCCTCTCCCGATTTGCCGCGTCAGCCATATTCATGTGCGACAAAAGCTGGATGATTGCCCTGCCGACCGACAATTTCGAGGTGAGCTCCCTGCTCCGAGAGCACTATTGGCGCGTTCGCGGCAGCGAATCCATGGACTACAACTGGGAATTCATCGGCGGCGGTACATCGGTTCTTTCGCACCTTCCCGGCCCGGGCTTTGTCGGAAACGGTTTGTCCCGGTTCCAAAGCCAGGGCACGGCCGGCCCTGTGGTGGTTTTGTTTACGGGAGCCGTCCACGTGCACCTGTGTTCCGGCAAACCGAACGACGACGAGCGCCTTCGAATGGCAACGGTGACCGACCGTTCCGGTACCGTCCGGGTGGCGCTTACGGAGCGCGTTCGCCGGTTCCTCTGGAGGGACAGCGGGGCCGATGGCTCTCACGACCGGTGCCGACCGGACAACAGCGGCACCCAGGCTACCGCCCCGCGTTACCTGGTCACCATTCGCATGTTTGTCCTCGATGGCGACGGCGGGGAAGTCGGAACGCGACGGTTCGTCCTCACAAACCTGGCACCTCTGGACTGATCCTCCAGATGCGTACGACAGGACGCTTCGTTCCAACACAACACAACACACGAACGACAGGGCGAGCCACACGCCTCGCAACGAACACAAAATCGGCATCCGTTCTAAATCTAGCACACTCGCGTTCTCGCAAAAAAAAACAATTCTTAAAAAAATAGGCCGAAGGCGTTGTGTATCGTACTTTTTCTCTAACAAACCACGGCGGACCAAGGCGGACCACGATCGAACCACCGGCAGGGCCCGTTCGCAGGGGCGGGGAACCCTTCGCGCCCACGGCCTGGGCCTACCCGTAGCCGGGGGGCCTCTGGAACCCGTGGGGGGGCGGCGGCCGCGGGAGCTGCTGCCCTCCCTGCGGAAAGGGCGGGGGCGGCCCCCGGTGGTGGGGCATCGGCGGTGGCTGCTGCCCAAAGGACGCCCCGGGAGGCGGCGGCTGCTGCGGTTGCTGCCCGGGCGGAGGCGCACCAAAAAACGGCGGGGGCCGGTTTCCCATGGAGGGCGGGGGCGGTGGCCCTCCCGGCCGGGGGGGATAGCGCTGCTGCTGCTGCTGGTGTGGTGGTTGTGGCGGTGCCTGTTGCTGGTGGTGGTTGTAGGGAGGGGGCGGTCCCCCCCGGTGAAAGCCCGGGTTGTTCCCCCCGCGGTGGTGGCCGCCGAACCGGTTCATTCCCATTCCTCCTCCTCCCCGGTGGCCCATCATCGGAGGGGGGCCACGCTTCATCCCTCCCCCCGGGGGCGGCGGGATGAAGCCCGGGCGGACCCAGGTCCGGTCGCCCGTTTTTTCGTTGAAAAAGAAGGAGATCCCGGTGCACTCGTCCGTGTCCTCCTTCCAGCCGTCCGGGAGGGGGGGGATCGAGGGATCGTCGGCCCCCCGGGCCCGGACAAAGGCCTGCTGGGCCGAGGCCAGGCCCATCTCGCCCTTCTGCCACTCGACGACGTGCTTCTGGTAGTGCAGCTTGAAGTTCTCGCGGAACTTCCATCCCCGGCGCTGCTGCTTCCGGCCGGCGGCACTGTCGTGCGTAAGGTATGTGTTGGAGTAGTCGTCAAAGAACCGGGGCATCGTGCCGGTGTTGGTTTGTCTTGCCGTTCTTTTCTTTGCGGCGGGGAAGGGGGTGCGGTGGTAGAAGTAGTGGGGTGTGTTGCGTTCTGTTGCCTTGCGTTCCGTTGTCGGTGCTCCCGCGGATGAAGCCAAGCGCAAATCAGTGAAACAATCAACCAATTGATTGATTCCGTTGGAATGAACAAAAGCGATGGGTTGCCTAGTGAGACTATGGACGCTGGTTGGTTTCTCCTCGGTAGTGTCTTTGTGCTTCTATGCTTGTTGTTCCTTCTACTTATTTTTGTTTGCAGCAGGTCTGCTCGTGTGTTTGTTGTTCACTCGGTACGAGTGAACGTTTGTCATTCACTCGGTACGAGTTTGTCATACTTGACGCGCGGTACGAATGGTATGGTACGAAATTCTACTGTTTCGCCCACGCTCTACGCTACGGTAGTACCGTATGCTCGCACTCCTATCCTGTGATGAGAAATGAGAGAGAGATGCGGTACGTACGGTAGTACGTACGGTACGTAATGTGTGTGTACTCGTACTTAGTGTGTACGATGGACGGTATGGTACAGACATGTACTATGCAAGGTATGTATGGTACATACTATGAGGTACTTATGGGAAAGGTTTCGGCGCCCGATCACCACTTGTTTTGATTGAATCACTACCTCTTCGGGATTTACTGCATTGTATTGTCCCCACCCTCGCTCCCAAACGCGGTGTCCATTCAAAAAAAATTCGTCTCCAGATCCGACGGTATGTACGGTACTGTACCGTACGGTCCTGTGCGTACTCGTACTCGTACCGGTACTTCTTGATGGTTTTGCTCCGTTTTCTTTCCATTTCGGATTCGTCGTCCCAGGTAGGCTTCGTGCCACAAGCTCTCTCTTGCGCCTATCGCCGGACCCTTTGGAACCAAACACGAACCTGAATCGACACGGACACGGAGACTCGGACCACCCCGATCGAAGCAGCAATCCACCACTGCCACTGCCACTGCCACACAGCAAACCAAACCAAACCAAACCAAACCCGAGACACACAATGCCCCGGCGACCCGCAAAGCTCTCCAACTGCTACGTGCCGCTGCCGCTCCCAACGGCCGGCGGGCCGGGGGGCGACGCCTTGGCACCCGGCCGGGGAAACGCCCGCCCCGACGGCCGGGCCACCGGCCACGAGCTCCGGCAGCTGTGCATGGAAACCTCGGTGATTTCGGGGGCGATGGGGTCCTGCCTGGTCGAGCTCGGGCACACCAAGGTCCTGGTGGAGGCCCACCTCTGCCAGGCGGCGGGGAACGGCCCCGGCGGCAGAGGCAGCAGCAGCAGCAACGAAGCGACGAACGATATCGGATCCCTCCGGTGCCACGCGAGGCACGCCCCCCACGTCGGGATCGACCGGGTCTCGCAGCGGTCCTCGTCCCTCCTGCCGCTGGACGGGAGCGGAGGCAACAAGGGCGGCCCCTCCGCGGCCCCCTCCGCCAGCGCCGGAAAAATGAACCAGGAGCTGGCGGTCCGGGAATCCGACCTCTCCCGCGGGATCGCCGCGGCCCTCCTGCCGGTCGTGGTCCTCGAGAAGTACCCCAAGTCCTCCGTCGTCGTGAACGCGACGGTCCTGCAGGACGACGGGAGCTGCCTGTCGGTGGCGATCCTCGCGGCCTCGATGGCCCTGGTGGACGCCCGGGTGGAGCTCCGGGACCTGGTGGCCTCGTGCACCGTGGCCGTGGCCACCACGAAAGGGGACGGCGAGGAGGGCGGCGGCGACGATGTCGTTTACCTGGCCGATCCCACCCACCGGGAATCCTCCGGGGAGGGCGAACGCGTGGCGCTCATCTGCCTGGCCATGACGCCCAACCAGAAGGAGGTGACGCTGTGGAACCAGTCGGGCCGGCTCACCTCGGAAATGGCCTCCCACGCCATGGACCTGTGCCGGGACGGCTGCCGCACCATGCACAGGTTCATGAGGGAGGCCTGGGTCTCCTCCCTCTCGGCGGCCGCATCGGACGGCGACGAGGAGATGGCACCGAGCCAATAGCCGGGGGGGGGCTGGTGTGTGCGCTGCGTGCAGCAGTTTTTGATTTGGAGGAGAGACGGAAGGACAGGAGGATGCGGACGAGTCGATTGGTTTCGTTTCGTGCACGCGGAAGTGCCACGACGAATCGTGGGCCTCTTTTACGGATGGGAATCGAGGACACAAGCGAGGGAAAGAGAAATCCAGCCGGAATCCTTGTTTGGTGCCATGGGAAACACCAATGGATTTGGCACAAACGCGGGGACACAAAAGCTATTGCAACGGGTGGTTCCATTCTCCGGCAGCAGACACCCATTGGGATCCTTCGAGGCGGTGTCAGAGGAACACGACCGCGGCGGGCGGTGTGCTTCGAAGCCTGCTGCGTTGCTTCCCGCACCACTCCCCCGTTCCCAGCGATGGAACCCCGACCCATTGCATGGCTCGGATCGAGGAGGGAGTACCAAAACTCCGTTCGGATGCGTTCCGCAGAGCTTCCGGTGGAACGAACCCCCATTGATTCCTTTTCGAACTGCGCTGATACACAATGGAGAAAGTTTTTAAAAACACTACACGATACAGTTTATTCACACAGCTACTGTTCGTCTACTTTTTGTAGATGGCACCGTCGCAAAATGTTTCTGCTGTGCCGCACTACAAACCCAGTTACATCCCGTCCGACGCGTTCCGTTGGCGCGACGACCTCTATCTTCCCAGGTTCTTCTTTTTCTTGCTCCCCGAACAAATCTCACCAGCGCAGCGTCGTTGTGCCTTTTCGCGATTCTGTTCTACTTGTACGGATGCCCAGAACGAAAAGGATGCGTGGTTCCTACTTTGTGATCGCCTGCGCTTCTCCAACCGACAATCGTGGAACTGTTCTAGACTTCTTTTTCCCATCGGCTCTTGTGGAATGCTGATTTTTGGAACGAAAGCTCTCGTTTTGGACCAACAAAATAACCCACCCACGGGATCGTGCTCGGGAGGCGTATTTGGATTGTTTTCGCGTGTCCATGAGTTTGCGGTGGTCACCTGGTTTTTCTTCTCGTTCCCTTTCTTGTTACAAGAACAAAAAAGACCACAGTGCTCGCGCCTATGCCAGATCTCTCCGTTCGAGATCGAACTTCTTGGTGAGGGTAGTGAGAACGTATTCGTAGACGACCATGCTGCTGCCGTTGGCAATGGTCGATCTCACCAGACCCGGTACGATGCCGCGGAACAGCCGGCCGTTTCGGAGGTTTTCCATCAGGAGCTCGGTGTTGCTCCGGGAGGCGTAGTTCCCAGACTGCCTCTGGGTCTTGACGACATCGGCGGGCCAGCAGGTGAGCCACGCGAGGTTCGCGCAGACCGCACCCTTGACGAACGGGGACAGGTTTTCCCGGTCGTCCGCCATGAGGAGAGACGGAACGTACCCCTGGCGGCACAGCAGCTTCGCCATGTCGAGGTAGAACATGAACGCGGTGTAGAGCACCGTGTTCCGCGCGAGCGTCACGCCGGTCCCGTCCATGACCTCCCGGATGCTCCAGCCGTGCTCCACCTGCCGCCTCGTTTTGAAAAAGTCGGTGGGAATTTCTACCAGGCCCCTCGACACACCGCCCGCCGCCCCGGCAATCATGACCTGCCAGTCCAGAATGCCAAACAAGCGCGGTGCCGGCTTTCCCCCGTTGGTGTTCTCCTCGAGCCAGACCTTGGCCGCACCGGAAACGCCGAACTGGGCCGATCGCATAAAGGCACCGCCGACGAACAGGGGAAGACCCCCCCGGTAGAGCCCCCGGACGCCCTCCTTTGCAAACAGGTCGCCCGCGACCGCAACGCCGCTGGAATTCGCCGCGCTCGGCAGGCCCTGCATCCGGACCTTGACGGTGTCGAGTGGCTGGCCAACCACGACCGTGGTCAACCCGTAGGAAGCTCCGGCGACAAAGGGGACGAGGTTCTCCATCATGATGGATGATGTGGATTTTTGGATGTTCTTCTTGTGAACAGCATACCAAGTACCGTACGATGGGTTTTGTTTCGCTAGAAGATTCTTTTCTCCGATGTCCGAGGTTTCACTATTTGCAGTACCGTACGGTAGTACGGTACGTAAGTAGCCTTTGGAAGCCAAAACGGAACTTACAAAAGAGCTCGGAATTACTAGAAGTACTACCTCAATGCCCAGGTACCGTAGCGTACGTACCGTACTGTATTTACCGTAACGTACAGTATGTACGGAACAACTACGATATCTTCCGTGCCTACGTTCTGTATTTCGTATTTCCGTTTCTTCACAGCACAGAGGACCGTACGTACGTACCGTACCATACTACTCGTTTGTACCATAGTACGAGTTCGTACTCGTAGAACTTGAAACGTAAATTACTGCCATGATTACGCCTGTCCTTCATCCGTTATCACTCCATCAACCACGTTTTCGATCTTGTCGGGTCTCATTCGATCTTGTCAAGTTTGATCTTGGAAGGATTCATTCCACTGGCGACATCACGGGACACAAGACTTATTAGCATTCCACCAGCGCAGAGGAGGGCCTTGGTGGCGAGTAACAGACCAAACAAATACCACACGACCGATAATCGCATCGGAAAGGCATACAACAGAATATGTCTAATTCTGGATACGTAGGAATAGGGAGAAGAAACATTTTGCTGAAACTGTTGTGTTCGTCACTCCACAAAAGCATTTTTAGGGACTGTTTCTGGTTTTATATACGACTGTTGTACAACACTTTTGTAACTCATATTTGTTGATCCTTCTCAAATGCGTGACCCTTCGAGTGTAGTCTAATTTGTCGCTCGAAGAGAGTGTCAGTGTTTTCTTACAGTGGTAGTAGGGGCTTAGTGGCCAGAACCTTCCGAATCATTATTTTGCCATGATCTCCAACCCATCACAATCCTGGTACTGTACGCCTGGTAGGTGCCTTAAGATAGACAGCAAGAATGACGCACGCATTTTGGGAGTATGATTTGGTTCGTATGAGATATTCAGACCCACCACCACAAAGTTTTTTCGCTTTGTGATGGTTCGTAAAAATAATTGCTTCTGTTACTGTTAATTCAAAGTATTATCATCCCTAGAATGTTAATGCTATGACCAGATTAGTATGTGCTAGTAGTACTCGTACCATTGTAAACATATCGTTACCAAGTATTGTTTGGAAGATACTCGTACCATTGTAACCATTTCGTTACCAAGTATTGTTTGGACAAGAGTTGTCGATTTAGCTATTTTTTCTCGTTTTGCGTGTTTGGTTTGGTCTGTGTTTCTTAATCAATCACATTGTACAACGCGATGCATTTCAAGGGCATAATAGAAAGACATTATTAATTCCAAGAGACCTACCGGGAAAGCTATTCCAAGAAACGATGCTCTTGTCCGTACGTGAACGATTTCAGTCATTCATGAACGTTGACAATCATGCACCATAGTAGTTTCTAGTTTTTTCTCGAACCTCAACGACTGGTACGATTAGGGCATAGGAGATACGATACAGTATTTCATCGGTCATTTCCTTCGATGTCCGGAAGGCGCTTGTTAATTACGGAAGGAAACCAAACCGCCAAAACCATGAACCAAGATTGAAACCGCTATCTTCACGTGCTAGCACGAATAGTATTGGTTCTTGCTTTCGATATTTTTTACTGCGTCCATCATCGTCTTAAAAAAATTCTGTATTAGCTAATGTCACACACAAGTTAGTACGTACGATAAGCCAAAGCACGATAGGATCAAGCAGGAAGCCCAAAACTCCTCGCGCATTCTTGCACAGTTACAGTACTGGGTGCTTCAATGGTATAGCTCGCTTAAAGACGTAGACCTAGACCCAGACCCAGACCCTCCACCCAGAGCCACAGAACTACTCCCACAAACCATGCCCGCTGCAACTTCAGAAAACAGCACATGCTTGATGATGATTTCTGCTCCCTGTCGCGCCGTATCCCCGTCGCCATTGCCAGAAGCGGTAGCAGAAACAGAAACTGAGATGTCCGTGTCCAGCAAACGTCAGAGGTGTGACAGGGTATCCTTCGATCCCCGAACTTCGATCGTCTATATCGAACCACTGTCGGAATTCACCGACGAAGAAAAAGAAACTCTGTGGTACGATGCCTTCGAGATGGCATGGTTCAAAGAAAGTGCAAGGAATTTATTCCGAAACCGATATTCCAGCACCTCCAAAAGGAACAACAATCGCAAGACGCACGACAGAGAAAGCAAAGAAAGAAGTGAAGGCCATGGTGCTTGCGTTGCTGATGTGGGATGCGTTGCTACTGCAGCCACAACCGTCGCTGCTTATTATGGGAATGAGAACATTGTGACGGATGGGGAAGAGGAGGACTCGACCAGGGGAATGGAGGTCTTCGTTCCGGCACGGCAAAAATACAACAAGAAATTTGTTCGAAACGTACTAGAAGCCTATCACGTGAGGTGCACCGGCAACGACGAACACGTCGCACTACTCTCCGAGCGGTGGAGCCAGAAGCCGCTCCAGAGGGCCATTTCGACGGGGAGGGAGGACTTTTGCGTCGCGTACTGTTCATAAAACCAAGAACATCGAAAGTCCCGGGACCGAGACGATTGTACCGACGCGTCCTACCATCATAAAACCTTCCTATCATCAAAGGAGAAAACATAAAACGAGGACCAGAGCTGGCGTTTGTAAAATAGTTATAGATTGACAATCATAGAGTGCACTAACCATATCATTATTAAAGTATCAAAAGTATGTGTCGAAAGACAGCTAGACTTTTAAAAGTTGTTCAAAGTCTTCCTCTACTTTGGCTCCAATAGCAATTGTATGAGTGTCCACCTTTCTCGAAAAAAACTCCCGAGTTTTCTCCGCCAGACCAGCACCGKGAAGGAAACAATCATCATCCCCATTCATGGAATAATCCTTTCCTATGGTCATCGAAATCCCTGTCACAAATCTATACTCTAGCTTGAAACGCCATTCATAGATTTACTCCCTTGCAAACTAGCCTTGCCGTTCATCATCATCATGTCAGTTTCTTTTATGATCGATCAGTAGGATTTGCCGATGCAGCATTCCTTGCTTTTTTCTGGTTCAACCCTAGTTCTTGCTTCGTGGATTTTCGTCATCTACTTTAGATAATGACCAATTGGAAGAAGCGATGTCCAAGCTTGATCACGGACTGGGTGGTTTCATTTTTCCAACTGAGAATGCTTTCAAAGTGAAAGGTATAAAAAATTGTGCATCTTGCCTTAATGATTATCAACAGAACGATGCCAGTGACTAGCTAACTGCCGGAAGTGGATTTCGCCTGATTCTGTAGGCGCTTCACCACTAGCCACCAGTATTTCTTTCGAAAGGGATCGTGCTCGGTGGCCAGGCTCGTCGCAAGCTGCGTTGCGACTTCCAGCGATTCCTTTGTTCCGACCATTTCGAGCAGATCGATCCTCGCGCTGGTCATGTTCACGCATGTATCGGGGTTGCGTTGTGCTTCTTCCAACACTGTCCGCAACCCGCTGGCCTTGGCTTCGTATTCTGCAATGACGTTTCTTGTGAAATCGTCCGTGCTGCCGATGTTGTCTTTTTGTTGTCGCTGGTGTTGTTCCCGTAATATCCCGACGAGATACCTCCATGGACTTTCGTTGTAGGGATCCAACCGAGCTCCCTTCTCAATGGCAAAGTCAGCTTCGCGACGGGCCACATCGAGAGACAGCGGGTGATTTCCGCGTTTCCCCCGATGGCTTACCAGCCACCGTTGGTTCCAGGCCGAGTTGTTTCGGACATCTTCTTGGATCAATCTAGAAACTGTGTGACAACATGCATACCACACACAGAGAGAAAAAGAATGTAGGAACGAATAATTCATCGGTGCCACGATCGAAAAGTGAGTGACACATCATTGGAGTACAATGCAAATTTGGCTACTTTTACCTACCGAATCCCATTTCCTTTTCCCATATAGAATCATCGTCTACCGTCATTAGAATCCATTGCCGATAAGACCAGGCATGGTAATTCTTCGAATCAATTCCTAGTACTTCTTCGATGTATGCCAATTCCTCCTCCATGAAGTCGCGGGCGCCGTAGGTTTCCAATAGAGCCCGTCGGTGATACCAAATCTGTTGTAAACGCACACATGGATAATTGGTTTTTGCGTGAGACGCAATAGTATGGGTTGAACGATTTGGCAAGTGCAGAAAGTATGCAACTTCAGATAACAAAGGGTTTCGTGCCTCGCGACTAGAAATAACCACACTGTCGAATAGAACGCGACATGGCGGCGGCATGGAACGCCACAAACAAAAATTACACACCTGATAATTCTTTGGGTTTTCTCCACCCAGCGAAGCGGTCAGTTCCAAGTCCTTTCGAATCGTTTCTCTATCCGAGGACAGTCCTAGGGACGAAAGGCACCTCCGACGAAAATTCCAAACGGTGTAGTTTGCTGGGTTCAGTTTCAGGCACGTTGCCGACAACTTCAGGGCCCGTTCTAAATCAGTGGTGAAAAATCGAATTCGAACGAAATTAGCATTAACGTGTTAGTTTTTTCTTTTCGAGACTAAAGCAGAACGGAGACGGGCCAACAGATCGATAGCTCGACTTTTGGCCACATGGCATTGCATTAGAGATACGTATCAGCAGCACAAGGAAACCCAACATGACATAAGCAGTCAACTATGCTCAGCACACGCACCGCTGAACTCCTTTGCTTCCCAGACGGCACGCATATAGTTGTACGACAGGGCGAACGCCGAAGGATATTGAATGACACAAACGCGATCTGGTCCATCGTTTTGTGGGATTGGCGATAGATCTTTGAAGACGCTCGGTAAATCTTCCACCAACAGCATTCTATCGGCATTCATTTTGGTTTATGCGGTTAGCCAATGCGTTCTTGTTGGGATGGACACACTCAATCGCTTCTGTTCTTGTTGCTTATCGTTGGTCGTGCACTGCTCTTTCTCTCTCTAGGCCTTTTCAAGCGGATTCGATTTTCGATAGATAGCTGATTCCGTATGATATCGGGGGCGTCCATATTTTCTACCATGAAGGTAAGAGCAGGGGTCATAAATTTAGACCATGGGTAAGAGTACGTACCTACGTGCAAGTACTTTACCGGAAGTACGTGCAGTAGAAGTACTTCATGATGTATCAGAGGTATTTGTACCGTACCGTACGTAATCAGGACACGATGCTATGGTACGGTACGTACGATACGGCATTACGATTGCTGTACCGTACTAGAAGTAATCACTTGTAATAAGAACTAGTACTTCGTAGTACGAGTACGTAGCACCACTTAACCCTACACCAGTAAGTACTTGTAGTACAAGTACGTACTCGTTGTAGAATTACTCGTACCGGCCGATTGGAAAAGATCATACGGTACCGTACTTTACTTAACCTCGCACAAGTGGTTGAGTCGAACTAGTCCTATTGGAGTATTTGCCTTCTTGTATTTACCTGTAATGTAGCGTAGTCAGTCTGTCTGAACGCACGTCCTGTACGACTAATTCAAACGCATTCGTACTCGCAAGCATTTTTTTTAATTTTCAATTCAAGTGGAGAGTTGAATTTTAAAAAATTGTCTCGGGACAGGATATCTTCTTTTAAAAGACCACGGTCGCTCCAATTCACCCCGGATTCCCGTGAAATGTTCCTCGATGTCGCTTCGCATTCAAATGCATAAAGGGTAGTATTCTTTGTCTATCACAACAGCATAGAAATCTCACATCAAAGCAAAAGAAAAGCAGATAGCAGCAATATTGTATCTGGCTATAGCTCTTCAAGAAACAATGCCAGCGCCACCAACTTTGAACGCCGATGCCCTAACAGAAGGCTCAGTTGCAGCCAAATTTTTGGCCTTGATTCAAACGTTCGACGATTTGACCGGTGCGCCCGAATGGGCCCAGTCGTCGAGGACAATCGGAATCGTAACTGCTGCTTTGCTATTCGTGGTGCGAAAGATTTTGGGAAAGAAGTACGGCGTGAATTGGTGCTCATTTGTGCACGCATGCGTCGTTGGGCTGATGAGCTTTGTGGGTGTGTGGTTGAACGTGTTCGGGGCCGAATCTCTGACGGGGACGACCGAGCCACTGGGACAGATCCTCTGCAAGGGACCCCTTACTACCTTCCACTCTATCGTAGCAGCAATTACTATGGGATATGGGGTGTTCGACATCGCAGAAGGGATGCACCTGGCCAAAGCAGATTTTGTAAGCGATCGCAGGGACGAACATGTGATTCGATTCTTTAGACATCACGTGCGAGATGCATGGTCGTATCCGTATACATATGAGATCTGTTTTGACATTGCATTTTGTCTCGCAAAAATTGTGTGCTCACGATGGATCGCTTGTTGTTCATGTTTTCATTTTTTCTATCGATCGTCTCGTTAGATTATGCACGGAATTGCAACTTTATCGATCATGGCCTATTTCTGTGAATACGGTGTCCCTGAAATAATCCTTCCCATGTTGCTGATGGAGGTGAGTCCTTCATTTGTCTCGTTCTGTGCTTGGATTCCAAGAAATTGAATATATCGTACATTATGATATTGATTGCGGCGAAAACAATATCACATCATCTCAGAGTTCTCAAATCGCTGCTTGATTCGCTTCTTACGCGCGCAACTTCACAACATAATACCCAACAGATATCAACGATCAACCTCGTATTTTTGGGAGCCTCAGAACTTTTCTCAGAAAAAGGAATCATTGTGAACATTGTGATCTTTACCCTCAATTTTACTTTCTTCCGGATAGTGGCTTGCCCTTATCTATGGTGGGAAATTTTTTCGACCGCGTGGGAGCACAAGGAAAACCCTTTCAGCCAAGCCTGCCTACCTTGGCATTTTGCCTACGTTGTATTTGTATTTGGTGAGTATCAAAACATATTTTAGTTGGGTTTTGGATGCCAGTGACTTTACACCAACGCTTCTTCGGATAATCGGGCTGACACCTAGTTCTTCATTGCCATCGTAAATTTGAATGCAATGTTGTTTTGAATGTTTGTTACAGGCATGTTTTTTAACTGTCTGAACTTATTTTGGTTCATCAAAATTTTGAAGAAGATGGTTCGTAAATTTTCTGGTTCAGAAAGTTGGAAACAGAAGAACCATGTCAAGGAATCATAACATGGTAGGGGATGCGTGATGGGCAAGAATAGTGTACCTTTTGTGAACCGTATTCTTTTCGGCCCGAAATATTTACGTCTCAAACGATGTCTCTTGCTCGACTATAAAACCTCAGCCAAAGTCAACTTATTGGTCATAAAATATTTTTTACGTGTAGCCTACTAATGACAAGCACCTTCTTTAGCGCAAGATGAACTACATAAGGTTGGACTCGTGTTGAAGTCATCAATCTTGATCTTGGTTCACAGTAATTATTTATCTCCATTCGAAACCTGTCAGTTGTAACGTTAGTTAAAATGCTAACAATATCATGGTTTTGCTCTCCCTCCTTTTTCGATAAAAAAAATGGAAAACAAATAAGTGGAAACGATTGGGTTCAGGGCATGCTCTTGAACAATCATTTTTGTATCCTTCGTCTTTGCTTTGCGTCAAGAATTAGTCGGTGGATAAAACACCCTCTCCTTTTCGAATCGTTCTTGATTCGTTAAGGGTCATGATTGATTGGGACTTGCATCGGAATAATTACTTTATCTCGTGTCACTCATGGAAGATCATGTCCGGCTTCTAGTTTAACAGAATTGGTACAACGTAGTCAAGACCGTTCCCTCTCGTCTCAAGGATTGCCTCGGCCATTTTTGTTGTATTCTCTGTTTTCAATACCGAATGGGTCAGCACAAGTTCATCGGGCTTTAATGTTGCACTAGGTTGTCGACTTTAACACAGACATTGGGGCAGCCGCGACTTTGGCGGCTTCGACTAGGCGTTTCTTCTTTGCTCTTACTTGTTTCTTGCGCTTCTCTTTTTTGCGAGCTGCCTTGGTTGTGAGAGCGGGCTTTTTGCCTTCCTGGGGATGTGATTTTAAGTTTCTTTGCTTCTTTTTCTTCTTCTTTCCGTTCTCAGGCTGGCCTCCTTCGCCTTTCGTTTTCCCACCCTTGCTATTTTCCTCCTTCTTTTTCTGGTTCTTTTTCCGTTTCGCTTCTTCCTTTTTCGCACGGAGGTGCTGCACTAACGAAGATAATATTTGCCCATCTTCTTCAACTTCGTCACCGGTAGCTGTAGTAGTGTTGGCAGCAGCGACTCCACCACCAGGAGCTGGTTTAGGGCGGGCTTTCAGTTCCTCCTTTTGCTTGGCAATGTTCTCCAACCATTCCTTGTAGTCCGCAGTACCCTCAATTGTTCCGTCTCTACGATCGGGGCGGCTATTGTTGTTGTGAAACATCTTCCAAGTTTTACCGTTCATACTCTGTTCTACGATACAACCGGAAAAGGCAAATTCTTGTGTCTTCGAATCGACCGCTGCCAATTCGATCAAGGCCTTAATGGCATTTGAGAGCAAAAGCCGGCCCTTTGCGAGTTCACGCGGATAACTGATTGGGGTCTCGGGAGCGGCAGTTAAAGCTTTAGTGGCGGTAGTTGCATCTCCTCCGCATTCAGCTGCTTGTTGATCTGCTGCGATAGAACCGCTTTCATCATCCATCACAGTTGCCGCATCAGATTGCTTCTTCTGATCTTCGGATTGAGGCTCCGACGGTGAATCTGACTGCCTGTTTTCTTTAACATTTCCCTTCATAGCGGTGACTACTTTCTTTTGTTCAATCTTTGGTCCGATGAGTAGAACACAGGCGGTCCCCCCACGTTCACCCCGGCGACGCGTCTTCCTCGGAGGTACAACATAAAGTGGACGAGCAAGGATTGTGGGTAGACTGCTGACCATCTTAGGGGCAAGGATTACGTCTAATTTATCACAGTTTCTTTTTTCCGATACCCCTTCTTTCCCATCCACAACGGTAGAACCATTTGCTCCCTCATCGTTGTGTGTTTCTTCCTTGTTTTCTTCAGTCTTCTCTTTTTCGTCATCCTCGTCAGGATCACAATCTCCTCCTTCTACAGTCTCAGGTCTTTGATTCTCTTGACCTCTCAGAAATTCCATGCGATATTCTTCGATCTTTTCTTCCTCTGTAATCAAATGACGGACTGCGGTGCGGTCCAATTCAATGGTATATTGGTTGTTGGCTTTCTTTTCAACGCAAGAATCAATCAATTTCGAGACCAATTCTTCCAAGACCAACTTGACGGAGCCAAATTTATCGGAATTCTGAATGTTGCGAATCGTGATCTTGATTTGAGGGGGTGGAGGGGGGCTGTTGTTATTATTATTGCTGCCACCGGAACCAGACTTTTTGTTTCCGCTTTTGGCAGACCCACCCTTTCCTCCTTTTTGCTGAGCCGACGTTTCGTTCTTTTTTCCACCATTACGTTTCCGCCGTGTTTTCCGACGTGATGACGACGCCGATGCCGACGTCGTAGTTGTTCCTTCTGCCATTAAGCTACAACTTTGCTGCGATGTGCTGTTGCTTTTCGATAATCAATAATGTTTGCCACTCGAATCTGTTTTTGTCCCTTCACCCCCTTGCTTCGGACTTGGCTCATAGGAAACTCGGATCCCCTGAAGCAGAACCTTTTAGCAGAACCTTTTAGCAATCACTATTGATATGCTTTTCTGCCGTTCTTCTTACACCTAGATGGATTGAAAGAACAAAAAGGTTGATGTGGTCAGTCAGTGCCGATTTCAACAAACCGGGTGATGATTCCACTACTTGTACCTCGTACTTCTGATGCAGTGCCGTAGCGTAGGGTACGGTGCCGTACGTAGTAGAAATCCAAGGGACCACCACCACGGTCTTGTTATGAGCCGCATGGCTGTGGTCCGTTGTCCGATACATTAGTACCAAACTGTACTTACGCAGGGGTCCTGACTGTACGAACCCCTGCTATGGTACTTTATGGAGGTACGATACGTTAAGTATTAGTATGCCTCATTCATAGCATTTCGAGCGTGGTGGATATGATGTCTGTATGTGACCCGTTATTGAAATCTGCTCCTGGGCCTCTTGATCCCTTTTCACGGCCCAAGCCCCCATTTTCACTTCTATTCTTTCTTTGGGGGGACGGGGCGGGGTTGCAATTGCAAAAGGTGAGTTAGTTTTTGGAATTAAATCATCCACGTTTGAAAGAGAAACGCGAGTAAAAGCACGAATCTGTACTCGTGCCGGTATCGCACGTACTTCAAACCGAACATACAGTAATAATAATTTTTCGCACCCCAGCACTCGTACATGATACGGTACGAAGGTAACCGCAGGTCAGTAAATAGATCATTACGTGGAGCGTCTCATTTTTAAAAGACTTACTGTAAACATCTTCACAGTATCAAACAGAGACACAAGAGGTTCTTCTTTATTGCAATTAAAAATTCAGTTTATTGGATTATGATTTGTTTAAGGTACTCATGAAATAACAAGAGGTTGTCAATTCTAGTATTTCTTTTTGTTATGGCAATTGCTAAATAAACGAACAATTTAGTTAAGTAACATTATCAATTGATTCAACCTCTTGGCGCCACGAGAGCAACAACGAACAATCTTCTGTGTATTCCGATTTGATTCTTGCTTGTCCCGAAAAGTGCATGCTGCAATTTTGACCGCTTCGTATGTACGAATAAACGTACAACACCATACGGTTTTACTGCGATCACTGACCTAACGTGCTGTCGCGTGGTCACAAAAAGCGATACTATTCATGGTGGTACGGTATGAATACTTCTATTGTTGAAACCCACCAAGAAGCTCCAAAACACCATCGTTCAGCAAGAGTAGACGATCGTGTCGCAAGAGGAGACCAACAGGGGATACCTAACAAAAAAGTACGAAAGAAAGGGGTGAAAATGGTGATGTCGTCCACAAGAGCTTGTACTGCATGGTAGGTTTTTGACACGACTGCGTAATACGTTATTTTTCATGCGGAGGTCCCGGTTACTATCAAAAGATCGAATATATTTCCGAACGGTATTGGATCGTTTGAGTGGGGATTCCAGTGTGTGATTGATTGTATTCACTCGTGCTTGGTGATTTTTTTCTGTTCTGTGCTACGAAGGAGAGTATGCATTGTACTTGTATTTCGATTCTAGTCGGATAGAGTTTCCCATGGTTCTTTTTCTCTGAGACTAATAAGGAGGCTCCCCCCTGATACACAATATGATTGTTCGACTTTTTGTCATAACACAGCCATGCAGCTAAAGTCAAGTGCGTTAAGGTTGAAGGCAGTACGAAATGCAAACGGTGCGAACGGCTCGGGCTCAAGTGCATAGAACATATATCGAGACAAGGGCAAGGCACAAGACGTCGTAAAAAGGCGAAGACGAAGGTTCAGAAAAATGATGTGCAGGAGTGCAAATTCAGTGCTCCCATTTGTACCCCTCTCAATTGCAATATCACGAATGACAAGGGATCCGTGTCCAAGAAAAGTACGACAGAAAATGGAGCAAGTACCTGCTATGCCATTCCCATGGGTTACACAAGCACTGTCATTTGTGATGGTAGCGGCGGGAACAATATGCGGAACAACGACGGCAGCCTGAAACAGAAACAACCCGACCCAAGTACCATTTGTGCGGCGATGGATGCTCTAGAAGTGGAAGACAAAATAATCTGCTCGAGCATAACGAGTGGGTTAGGAAAGGATCACTTTGGTTTGAACCATATCATTCGCCAATGGATCGCGCTTGCCTTTAGCCGTAGAAGCTTTTCTCTGTTGGCGCGTGCCTCCTTCATTGCTGAGAAAATGAAAATACCAATGGACGATATTATTTCCAATCAATCTCCTTTTGCAGCAGCCACCGATTCAGAACCTATGGACTTTTTAGCAGCAGATATTTTGTTGTCAAAGAAGGAAAGAAAGACACTTGGTTACCCAATAGACCTCCGAGAAATCCCTTGGGACTTGCTCGAGTCGGTTCAAATAGATCCTAATCGACTCGAAGAAACCACGCGCAATAGATGTATTGCCATCCGATGGGCATCACAAGGGTCTACTCGTTACTGGACGTCGCCTGTTTTTTGTAGAGAATTTGCTTCCACGGCTGAGATTGGTCAAGTATGGGAAGAAAACAAAGAGGGTTACGACACGATAGATCTATTTATAGAAAAATCAGAAAAGGGACGATTCGCCCAAAATCTCTTCCATATTATATTCGTGAACAGCAAACCGAACATGCCGTGTTACGTCACAAAAGATCGCCACAAGGTTCAGAGACGGAACAACGCTCCACCCATCGAGGCCAACGTTATACAAACGATCAAATTACTAGATCTGGATGCAAGCATTCATTATTGCGAGATACAATTCCTCGACGACGACATTTCGAACGCAAACAATCTAGTGGGAGACGGGCTCGTGAGGGCCAACAAGCGTGACTATATCGATGACCATTCCCTGGACAACATAGATCCCTTTTTGGGCGATGGCATTGAATTCACAGATATTCCTGTGACAGACGAAATGATAGAGTTCATGAAACTAATAAGTGGTGAATAGACGCAGAACAGTAGCCCCCATTTCTTGAGTTTGAGGTGCTATCGATTACAATACGAGAATATTGCAAGGGAGAAGTAATGGACGAATGCATGTTATGTGATTATAGACAAAGTAAGAGTACTTGCTTATTTTATTTTCGCTCTGGGTAGATGTACCACCTCCGTTCAAAGAAATAATTTACAGATTGTACCTCAAGGATTGGAACAAACTTGATATTGTTCGATTTGAACGCTTGTTCTTTTTTCTATAGAACTTTCAGAATCCATGAATGAACTCTCGTGTGAGGCATGTCAAATGGATCCATCAATGCCAGCCATTCTTCCAGCGCCTTTTCGTGTCATTGGTGATCTAAATGGGATCCTGGTGCCACAAGAAATTCTGGTGTCCCCTAGCTGTGTGCTCCGTTGATACCAGATATATGTGCCAGGAAATACTAGTGCTCTGTAAAGTCCGGAGAGAAAGCGACAATGAGAACTCAAGGGATTAAAAACAAAAATAGTGGGGACACTAACTCGTGATTTTACTCCCTCTCTTATGGTACTCGTACTTGAGACACATTTTTAGGAACTTCTAGTTCTTTAGATTACTATACTACAGTACCGGTACTATTTCTACGAAATACATCAACTCTAAAAACTTAAAAATCAGACTTCTTTCAACGATGCCTAGTACTGTTGTGAGCCTAAATCGCGAGTCAACGGTAGAATATCGTCCGTACCTTCAACTGCGCTTGCTGGCCGGCTGGTCCGGCAATACGGCACGGTCATTCGTACGCGTTTACTTGGGTCCGTACAGTAAAATAAAATTGTGCATACCGTACTACGCGTAAAATAACAATTTAATTGAACTTTCGTTAATTGAGGCATGTTAATTTAACATTCCCAATGTTACCAGCGTAGGCTGCCAAGAAATTTTAAAATACAAACACACACTACGAATTACGAGTCGTACCGGTAGAGATATGATTCTGTAACGAACTATCGACGTATCGTACGTACGTAAGTACTAGCGCACCGCGAAGCTCATGACTTTTGCAGACCGTCTTGTACAAACACATCTTGTTAATGATGGACACTCCATAGAAGGCACTTGAACCACCCCATTATCATCCAGTACAGCCTAAATTTGAACAGCAGAAGAGATTTTTTATAATTCATAATATCTGATGACAGGGAATACACCGTTTCAGGAAGCGCTGGCCGCTAATCTTGTCCTAGCGGATGTGAAAGATATTGATCACTATCGAATTCACGGAGGTATGGCAGTCGAAACAGATTACATTATTGGAGTTGCGTTTAAAGGTGGCAAGAATAAAGGGAATGATGCGAACTTTGATCCTTTTACATTATCCAAAACGTTCAGTCATTTTCGATCCTTTGCGAAGGAACTCAAGTCAATTTCTGACGGAGTTCTGTCCTCACGATTGAGCAAAAAAAAAAAGGAGGACTCAACTACGATTAAGATTGGTTGGTACTGTGAGACAGTTTACCATTTAGTCGAGAGCCAGAAGCAACAGTATGTTGGAAAGGTGAGCTTGTAATAAAAATGGTGCACTGAAATTCAATTATTTGCGCTTTCTTTCAAGCTGCTCATTACCACTTTTGATTTTCCGTCGACATTAGGTCAACTACAAATTTATGAAAAGTTTAGCCAAGAAACGAGCCGCGATCATCGCAGAAATTCTGGAATCCACCTTGAACAATTTTCCGACAAATCCGAAGGAAAATAAACTTACTATGGACGTGTCACATGCCATCGAAACTTTTTTCCGCACTGACATTTGCATTGAGATCGAGGACAGGGAACACAGCGACGATGTGAAGAACTATTATTTGTCAGAAGAAATTAAGGTTGACAGTAAAAAGCACAAGCCAGAAGACAAGGCTACCGTGATGTCTAGCATCTCAAGTAGTGCGTCAACACCTGTGGTACCTCTTTCTCGAAAGCCAAGAAGTTCCCTCGTAACCAGAAAAGCTGATCTCGACGATTTGAAGAAGACAGGAAAAGAAGCTAGATTTTTGTTGGATGATGATAGAGCCGAATCTGAGCCAGTCCCTTTCGACAGTGTTCCGGTTTATTCTCAGGGATCGAAAATTGGAGAGCTGTTCAAAAACCATCCAGTTGTTTTCGTTGTCACGACGATGGGTTTATTGTACTATTTGAAGCGATTTGGCACCGTGGCAGTTACAGTGGATTTAGATGTCATGTTATTATTTGTTTGGGCGGCTTTCTGCGTCGGCCTCAATTCGGCGCGACCAATCAACAGCAGTGTAGCCAAAAGCGCTGGTCCTTCGCGGTCGAAACGATCCGCGAAGGGAAGCGATGCTGACGGCAGAAAATTGCTTCGGCAAATTTCACGGCGAATGTCAATCCGGTCAGGTCATTGTAACGATACTGGCGATGACTCTGATTACGATGAGTCTGACGATGAGGAGCCTGAAATTGAAAGTCCATTACCGGTGTTTCCCAAAGGAGCTGCAATTGGTTCTCACATGAATTGTTGGTCCGAACCATTCTGCAACGATTTTTATGTCCGTGGTCCAAATTACCTGAAGGATAGAGTGAAAGTTGAATCAGGTGATTTTTTGTGGCCAGTCCGCGGCATCGACTTATTTCTAACAGACACTCCCCCAGAAAATGCTGGAAGGTAAGCTGCGAATGATTGTGTACATATGCAGGGATTGGTTCCTTTTTCATGAATTTGATTGGTGTCGCCCGTTCGCTCTCTTACATAATTGCATTTGTATCTTTTCTAGGCTATCTGGAATCATGGGTGGAAAACTAAGGGATGTTCCTACCTTTATCATAAACTTTCGACTTCCTTGGGGCGTTTTGCTTGCGTATTTTACAATCCCAGATATGTATATTCCATTCATCAAAGCAGGGCACGACCCAGAGTTCGACAAGTCATCTCTAGCTTCTACGGACGACATGACTCCAGGTCAACGCTGTGCTGCCCGGTATTGTCAGAGTTCTGCGCAAGAAAAAGATGAACTCCTCAAGATTGTGCCATCAGTCGTGGATGGTCCATGGGTTGTGAAATCGGTGGTTGGGAACAAACCAGCCATTCTTGGCACTAAAATGCCGGTGAGCTATGTGTACGAAAAGGAAGAAGACGGAAAAGCCATGTATTTGGAAATGGATTTGGACATTGTCGCGTCGTCGGCGGCTCGCGGCATCCTGTCGATGGTCCGGACCTACACCAACGTTCTAACGATCGATCTGGGATTTGTCATTCAGGGAAACCACGAAGACGAGTTGCCAGAGCAGATGTTGGCCGGAACGCGACTCCACGGACTCGATCCCTTGAACTCACCTGCGCTGCCGGTTCCACGCGATCAATTTCTTTCGAACTTGGAGCCAGCTGCACACGATGACGACGACGACGACGACGACGAGAACTAGATCACAATAAACCAAATGAATCATATCAGAGAGCCCCCATGTAAGCCCACGCCTCTTGCAGACGCCGAATCCTTTTCAAACATAAACATAGTATTTTTTTCGCGTTTAAAGCTTAAATGTTTCCGAGTTGGCAATTTTAGGACAGACCGCGCTTTGGCAATTATACTTAAAAGTACAAACTTGAACGAGCCATTTCTATCATCGTGGTGAGCGATATCCAGATTGTGTTCGACGCAAGAGTAGAAAGGATACAAAGCTACATGGCTACGTCGTTTCGCAGGAAACACGGACAGTGGTACCTCCCGAGTGCCGGAAAGCATTTCCTGCCGAGCCATCGACACGTAGCAGGAATGAATCGGGAAACATCCAAGGTCGTGATGCGTACCGTGCGTTTCGATTCGCCACAAGCATGTTTTGCTGCTGCCTCGATTCGATTCCACCGTCCGACGGCGGCAGCCCGTTCCCTCCGAAAGAGTGTTTCTGCACAGACCAGGCGTGCCGGGGAGACTTTCGCTCGCGCTTCCCGCGGCACGCGAACGAGCTTATTGTTTTGTTGTTAGTTAGTACGTGGAAACCATCAGCGAGTCCACCCGGATCGTGTCGGTGGCCGCGGTGTCCGCGACGGCACGCAGCACCCGGGTGAAGGATTCCCGGTGCTCGTCGCCCTGGACGCGGTCGATCACGTCCTTCTCGATGTGCCTCCCGTAGGTGACGTCTTTCATGGCGGCGTCCATGCGGCATTCTTCCAGGAGGCACCCAAAGGCCGTGGAGGAGAGGGCTTCCTCGCGCAGCCACGCCAGTTCCGAGCCGCTCCCACCAATGCCCTCCATGGCCCACTCGCTCCACCTGGACAAGTCCGCGAGGAGGCACTCGGCCCAGATCCTGGACATCTGGTCGAGGGCGGCCTGCTTGTCCTGCATAAAGTTGCAAACGGACAAGCCGGTAAAGGCAAGGCGAACGCGTTTGTCCAGGTCGAAGCAATATTCCAGTTTCGAAATGGCCAGTTCGACGAGTTCCTCGGGCGGCAACATTGGGCATTGCTTTTCTTTGTCCGAGTCGTCCAGCAGTTCTTGGTGGGCCTCTACCAGTTCCAGGGATTGTTCAATTTGTTGTCCCTGGCCTTTCGCTTGCTGGCTCTGAGCGGGCACGAGCATGTTCGTGAGTTTCGCCATGCTCAAGGCCCATTGGTTGTTGCCGAGGTCGTTGTTTTCCTTGCAGTTTTCCAACAGCAGAGTCGTGGCCTGCCCAAAGTAGCCCTGTCGGACGGTTGGGATCCACCTGTACCGGCGCAACTCCGTGTGTTTGTCCATGATCCGGTTCAGGTCGGCTATGGAATGGCGTCCGTAATTGACGACCTGCCCGTAGAGACCCTTGTCGGCATGCCACTGCAGGACGTGCTGGGGAAAGGACCAGCCGCTCCTCGAGTCCGGTCCCTTCATCGTCTCGAAGAGCGGGTCGAGCGCGTACGAGCTGGCGTCGCGCTTCTTCTCGTGCGCGACGGAGAGCTCGCAGAGGCCGTCGAAATGCCGGTATTGCACGCACAACTCAAAGGCGGTTTCGTCGTTGCCCTCGAAGACCCGGCGCAAGAGAGACAGAACGTCCCTTTGCATCTGGACAAACTCCTTCCGGCGTTCGATCGGTGTTTCGTTGGGTCCTTGCAAAGGCGGGATCGATTCGCTGTAGGACAGCAAAGCAAGCTTGGCGGTGCACTCGATCAACTGGGGAGACACGTCTTGATAGTTCGTTTCCCAGTGCTTTATTTGGCGCTTGAGCATTTCTTTCATGGAGGGGTGGCTGATCCACAGGGGTTCGGTACAGCGTTCCGATGCCACGTCGTAGACCGTTTCCTTGAAGTCTTCGCGAAATCCGAGAAGGTCCCAGATTGCCGTCAGCAAGAGCTCGTACCAGAGCCGGGAATGGAGCCACCCCGACTTCTCCACCGTCTGCTGGACCGAGAGGAACCAGTCGGCCATGGCCTGGGGTTGCAAACCACCCCACCACGACTCGACGGCTTCTCGATCCTCGGTGCTTCTGAACTCGTTTAGCTGCCCCGCCACCGTCCCAAAGGTGCGCAGTTCTTGCCCGATTCCCAGGAGCTTCCACTTTCCGTCCTCGGATAGTCGGCGGTAGAGCCCGTCGTTCTGGAGGAGTCCAACGAAGGACGAATGCCATTCGAGCGAGATGGAAGACGACTTCGGGTCGCCCTTTTGCTGGAGTTCGGCGCCGATCTGTATCACGGCGGATTCCAGGTCGACCGGGTCCGCCTGGAGCAGGGACGGCGGCGTGGGCTTGTCGACGTTGGGATCCGAGTAGGAGGCCCAAAAATGCGAGCGAAGATGCTGCGCGAGGATCTTGTCGTTGCCCAGCTTGATTCGCTTCGAAGGGGACTGCTGGATCTGGCCCTCTTGGTTCTGGGGCATGTACCGGGCTCGCAAGCCGATGCCCGACGAGGCCACCATGTAGCACCCGTGTGTGATCGTGTCCCGGTCCATCATGGTCGGCAGGAGATCCGGTATTTCCGCCGTTGGAAGATCGACCTCCTGGATGACGTGGTCGCTTTCGCTTTCGCTTTCGCCTTCTCCCCCTCCCGACACGAGGGCCATGACGATGACCGCCTCGTTGGCCGTGGAAACCGCGGCGTAGACGCTGTCGTTCCCGCACGGGACCAGTCCCAGGACGCGCACCTGGTCCGGCAGCGCGAACCGAGACAGCCATTGGGACCGAAGGATCGTCATGCGACCCCCTTCGCTATTGATGTTGCTGTTGCTCTTGCCGTTGCCCCCCAGGCGTGCCACGATCCAGTAGAGCCTCGATTCCCCGCTCCCGGAAAGTTTCCCCCGGACGATGCAGTGCAGGAACCGGAAATCCACGCTGACGGCGGCCCCTAGGATCTTCTGGACCGCCCAGTTGCTGCCGGGAGAGGATTCCGCGAGGCACTCGTCCAAGGTTCCCATCGGTGTGGGAGAAAAGAATGCCTGGTGCCCAGAAGCAATCGGTTGCTCCGACTTCCACTTCACAACCCCGGACCGAACGGAGAGTGCCAGGAATTCCGAGTCCTCGGCAAGGGGAAGGATGGTCGCTGCGGCGGCCTCGGCCATTTCCGGTGACAGCAGCGCAAGATCGTCGTTTCCACTGCTGTTGCTGTTGCTGCTGCTTCCAAAAATCAAGCGACTCAGAAAGCCCGACTTGTCCGGAGCCTCTACCTTCTGGACGTGCAATCCCACGGGAACGGCAATGTGGGTGATCCAGTAGGCGTCTCCCCGAGAGGTCGCGGCAACGACCATCGACTTGTGGCAGGCCAGGGAGGTGAAGCGGACAAGGGAGGCTTTTGTGCTTGCGTGGTTCGGGTCCGTGCCTTGGCCTTCGGTGCTTGCCTGGTGGTCGAGAGAGATGCGGACCCGGGCCGTGTGCGTTCCCAGGGCCGACCGGAGGTCCCGGCGGGTGATCTTTTTGAGGACCAGCCATCCCGTGACCGGGTGGAGGGCGTAGAGGTGGATCGTGTCGCGGTCTTCCCCCCCGTGCGGGCTCGAGAGGGCAACCAGCGGCGCGGAGGCCTTGGTTCTCGTTCTCGTGCCCGCCGGCCCCCCCTCGACGTGGAGGTCCGGGAGGTAGAGCTTGGCGTACTCCCTGGGGCGCTGGAGGGGCTCCCCCAGGTTGATCGTCTGCTGGATCTGCCAGACGTAGACGATGCCCCTGGGGAAGACGAGGCAGGCCCACTTGTTGTGGGTGGCTCCCGCCAGGGCCGAGTCCAGGTGCTCCACGACGGGGCCCGGAACCGCCGACACGACGTCCACCGACCACGGAATGTGGGGCGTCGGCCGGATGAGCTGCCGCTTGTTGTGGCTTCCGCTGCCGGGGGTGCTGGTGCTGGTGCTGGTGCTGTTGCCGGTGCCCGTGTAGGGGCTTGCACCAGAACCGCCGCGGGTTCTGCCCGGAGAAAGGGCAGGGGGGGAGAACGGGGTCGGCAGAAAGGACGACGGCATTTTTTGCGGAACGGACGAGGCGCCCTGTGCTTCTCGTTGGTTTGCTTTGCTTGGGTGGACTGTGTGTGCGCGCTGCCTTGCGGTACTGTTCTGGTGGTTGGCTTCTCCTCCTTGTTCTTGTTGCCTGCAGTCTGGTCGCTCGGCAGAGTGTCACGGTTCGAGATCGATGGATATCGATGGATACGAGTACGAGGTACGGTAGTACGTACCGTACAGATTTCTCTCTATCGTCTCTCGCGATGATGAAAGAAGCGGTTTTCAAAAATTCAGTGGTGATTGTTACCGGCCGTGGCCGCAGGAAGAGAAACTACGTGACGACCATGTTTGTTTGCTACTTTACTTCTAGTACCGTACCGTAGTACCGTACTACGGTACAGAAAAAAGAGTTTGAAAACTATGACATTCACCCTAACCCTAATTTAGAATCTCGGGGTCCGTCACAAATACATATGATAGATGTGTATAAATAAACATGTACATACCTATGAATCGAACGCCCCGACTTCCAGCTGAAACACACGAGATTGAAGTTTGTTCCCTGATCGAGGATGATGACGATGACATCGGTTTGTACTACCGTACGACAGCTCGTGTCGCTCTGTTTGATTTTTGAAACGAATACATCAAGTATTGCTTGCAATTGAACGGCGATTGACATTGCTGACCAGTTCGACGAACCAGGAAGATCCAGTGGCCACACTATAGCCTCAGCAGAATTTAACAACACGACTCGAAAGATGGCAGCGGGTGGATCTTTTTTTTTCAGGGGTGCCGTTCTCTTGGCGGCGGGGGTGGCCCTAATGGCCAGCGGCGGGAGCGATTCCCTGCGGGCAGCGGCGTTCTCGGCGCCGTCCCCGGCACGAACGGGAAGGATCGACAATCCCCTCTCCGCGCTGGAACCAAAAACGGAGGCCACGGCGTGCGGGCAAGAGACAACCACAACCACCACCGCCGCCGCAAACAAAGCCCCGGCGGCGGCGGTTTCCCTGGGCCTTGCGCTGGCCGTCGGAGCGTCCGCCCTGGCGGGAGAACCGGCGAACGCCTACATCCCGTCGGACTACGCGAGCGAGACCGTCCAGACCTCCATCCAGGACCTCAAAAAGGCCTCCGGAAACGTCGACGAGACCTTCAAGGTGTACGAAAGCATCGCGGGGATCATCACCGAGGGAAAGGGCGTGGGCGGACAAATCAATTACAGTAAGTCGTGTCGCGGTCGGTTTTGGTTGCCTCTCGCCACCCAACCAAACCCAATCGAATAGAATCGAATCGAATCGAATCGAATCGACGGGCGGATCTACGGGGGTTGCTCGGTGGCTGGATTGGTTGCGACGAATGGCAATGGACGACGGCTGGGCAAATGTTTCGAGGCGTGCACAGCCCGGCGGCGACGCATTGCGTGCTGACAACCAGCACGGAATTTGATCCCCGGGTGCGTTTTTCTCACCCTCCCCGTGTGTTTGTCGTTTCGAATCGGAACCTTTCGTTGTTGCCGTCCCGTTTTTTTTCGTTCGTTCCTTCGTTCGCGACGCCGCGCAGAGGGCATCCAGCTCGAGCGCGGCTACGTTGCCGACGAGGACACCACCATCTACAATCCCGGCCTGAGCCTCCTGACCGAGAGCGAAAAGGAACGACTGGTAGAGGCCGTCATCGACGCCCGCAAGGCCGGCCTGGAGGGCAACCAGTGGAGCGAAAACAACGAGTACGCCTTTGAGTTCCTGCGACAGAAACTCGACCCCTTCCACATCACCGAGCTCCGGGGCTTCCTGGGGATCGTCCCCTTTTACGGTGCCGCCATCTACCTCGCGGTACTGGCGGTCCAGCAGCTCTTCCGCGACGGCTTCCAGATCGCCTACCTGGTGGGAGTGGCGGCCTTCTTTTTGCCGATCGTCGGACTCGTCCTGGCGGGGCCGTAAGCTGCACCAGAAACCATCGGCGGCACTGTGTATTATGGCTAAGCAACCAAGAATAATGTACAAAACTTCTACAACGTACTACAATGGAAATGATTTTCGATAGCGCATTTTGTTTTCTCGGCCGGCTTTCCAAAAGGCCTAGGCGTTTTGTGTGGTTCGTACACACGGAATAGTGCGTCGTGCATCGGGGTATTCGTTTCGTCTTGTATGCGTGCTGCGGCGCCCCGTCCACCCCCCGGGCAAAACAGAGGCTGCTACGCGCGGCCTTCCTCCCCCCACTGCGACAGGGCGGCCCGGGCAATAATCTCCGAGGCCTCGTCGACGTCCCCGAGGGTGGTTCCCGGCCCGACGCTCAGCCGAAGGGTTCCCCGGGCAAAGGACTCGGGTACCTCCATGGCCACCAGAACGGAGGAGATCGACCCCCCGGAGCTGTGGCAGGCCGCGCCCGCGGAGGCGGCTACCACGTGCCCCACGCTCGACAGCAGGTCGCTGGACCGGATCCCGTCCAGCCCGACGCTCAGGGTGTTGGGCAAGCGCTGGCAAGGATCCCCCGGGCCGTTGGCCCGGACCCTGGCGGCCCCCAGCCTGCGCTCCAGGTTGTCGAGCAGCCGGCCCCGGAGCTCCTCCGTGTGGGCCGCGTTGCGCTCCAGGTGCTCCTGGGCCAGCTCGGCCGCCCGGCCCAGGCCAACGATGTACGGGGTGTTCTCGGTCCCGCCCCGCCTCCCAAATTCCTGTCCGCCGCCGATCAGCAGGACCCCGCTCTGGTTGGCCCGGAAGGCGCGCCCGTGTTCGTTCAGGCAACCCGGCCGGACGTAGAGCGCCGCGATTCCCTAAAAAACAAAGCAACACGCGACAAATCGAATCGCCGGGAGGCGGAATGTGTGGAACGACGAAACGAGGAGAAACGAATGTGTCAGCTCGGTCGGTGGTAGTGCAAAGGACGTCGTCTCCCGGCTCAGCTAGTATGCAACCGGTCGGCATGGAATGGCACCATCTTGTGTAGGCAAGGAAGGACTGTACCATTCCACAAATTCCTAGAGACTATTCAAATCGGATGAACTGGAGTCCAGCTTCCTTACCTTTGGTGCCCCGATTTTGTGGCCGACGATTGTCACCATGTCGGGATTGCCCATATCACTCAAGTGGATTGAAACCTTGCCAGCCTATGATAGCAAGAATTTAGGAGAGAAGAAACGACGACGATCCAATAGCGACAAGAACGAATGAAAGGCAAGGTAAGCACGACACGATCTGATAGTTTTATGGATTGAGAAGATTCCTCTAACAATGAAGACAAATGGAACGGAACGAACCAATGTGGTGCAAACGAATCAATAGTGCTTACCGCTTGCTGTGAATGTATGAAAAGAAGATGAAGAAACAGAGAGTAGAGATTTCAACGAGATGGATGAGCGGGTTTCAGGTTGTGTTGGTGAATTACCTTCTTCCCTAATGTAAGTAGTCGAGAACAAGGCACAGTACGATACCACTTCATTCCGTCGATTCCACGCGACAAACTATGACTAGATTCGATGGAGCCGACAAATAATCCATGGTGACTGCTTGCCTGTATCATGATTTCCGCGGCACGCTTCTATTCTATTCGTTCTTGCTACATGCTATAAAATGCGTGTGTTTGCTACTCACCGCTGCATCTGTGTGGCACAAGACACCCCTTCTCCGGCACTCTTCCGCTACTTCTTTGACGGGCTGGAGGGCCCCCGATTCGTTGTTGGCGAGCATCAGGGTCACCAAGACCGTATCGGGCGTGATGGCTTTCAGGACATCTTCCGCCGAAACCCTTCCCTCGTTGTTGACCGGAACACGCGTGACCCTGATGCTTCCGGACGAACGAACCGCGCCATCGATTTCGTCGCTTTGGTCTTCTTCAAGCCAACGGAGGTAGTTTTCAATGGCGGGGTGCTCGACGTTGCACGTGACGATATGTTTCTGTCGTCCACCACTGGCGGACGAGCGAGACGGAGCAGACATCAAAGCCAACCGAACGGCGAGGTTGTCGCTTTCCGTCCCGCAGCCCGTGAACCAAACCGCCGAGAGATCCAGGCCGTTCTTGCCCGGATTGCTTTCGGCGGTATCTTTCACCCCCAACAGCTGCGTCAGTATTTGCCTCCTCGCGTTTTCAATGGCAATGCGGGGCTCTGTTCCAAATAGGTGCGAAGACGACGGATTCCCAAAGTGTTCTTTCAGGTAAGGTTCCATGGCGTCGAAGACTTCTGGATAGATGGGAGTCGTTCCGTTGTAATCCAAGTAGTAGGATTTGGGGGCTGTTGCTATCTGTGGCTTGGACGACGACGACGACGACCGCAGGCTTCGACTCCGACGAAACAAAGGCGACAAAAGGCCCGAGACGATAGAACCCCCCAGTCTCTTGGTTCTATGCGTATACACCATCCAAGCAGAAGCGGTCGATGCTGCAACGAATGCAGTTCCACCGACCGCTGTCGCGAGCCAAGACGCGTTGCCCTTCGTCATCCACGACGACGACGACGCTGCCAGTATCCTAGGCTGCTGCGCCTGCAACTGCGGCATGTTCAAATGAAATGGAGTGTTGGTTAGGTAGATCGGATTGGGTTTGACTGGATTTGATTCCAGTTGTGCGTTGTGTTATACCGGGATTGCTGGGTGGTTGCTCTTGTTATCATCCAGCTCGTACCTTTCTGCTGGTCGAAGGCAACTGGCAATCGTATCATACATCATACCGTATCCTTGGAGGTGCCGTGCAGACCTTGTGTGGAACAGTACGTTAAGAACGGATTTGACATATCGTACGATACGATCGTACGTTCGTACCGTATTGTACCAGTGCAGGAAGATCAGGTTCGATTGTGATTGAAAGGGATATATATGTAAATGTTAAATATAAATATCGGCACTAGCTAGTAGTTATATTTGTACTACAGTATCAACCATGAAAGTCGAAGACTAGTTATTTCTTCCGAGAGGAAACATTGGACAACAACGAGGTTGGGAGAACGAGATGCCTGCTAATCCCATTCCTGCATAAAAAACTGGTGTGTAGCACAAAATCATACCTTCGATTTTCACTGGGCTGCAAGCAAGCAATTACAGTGACCAATTCAAACCTCGTATAGTTTATTACAAAAATTCAGTTCCACAAAAGGAACATTCGACGGTGCAAGTCTTTACGCTTTTGGTTCAAAGAGTGTAGTTTTCGTAGTCACAGGACACGTTGCTTTTGTACTGCTGCTTCCCCACTGCTTCTTCTATTTTTGCTCGTTTCTTTCGATGTTGAATGGACGCCTTCGACTTCGACTTTCTTGCATTCTCTCGGTCAAGGAGGACACGCAGATCCATACGCTCCATTTTCACAACGTCAAAATCTGAAACCCAATAGGCTCCTACCACCTGGCCTAATTCTCCCCGGTACGCAATCTTAACCTCGTTGTTGCGACCTGGGACTGAAGCTTTCCGCAGCGACACCACTGCTGCTTCCCAGTAGGTCATGTGTTTTTTTCCAGTGGGACGTCCCACCAGCGACTCGGTAGCACCTAGTTCAATGAGCCGCTGAGTCCTCTCACGAACCATTACGGCTTCGCCCGGCTGGATGCCCTTCGATCTACCCTTGCTTGAGAACACCTTGTTTATGAACCATTTCCTAAATCGATCGTTATCAATCTTGGGGTTATCAAAGAGTACACCGTTCTCCACCGTTGTGACACAGTGGGGCAACAGGCTCGCGTCCCACGAGACGACCACGGTTTGGGAGATCTCGATGGCCAAACCATGGGAAGGGAACAGAAGATAGGCGAGGCCCGGCGTGTTTGTATCCTTTGATAGGAAGATTGCAAAGGTCTTCGCACCCCTGTAGTCGCCCTTCTCCCATTCGGTTGCGGGTTCGAGTCTGATGGGAACCGTGGGGTCTTCCAAAAGGGAAAGTCTTGCCATTAACATAAACCGTGGGGATCCCGGATCCGATGTGCTCCATAACCCGGCATTGCTTTGTTTGTGCTTTTTCATGTGCTTGCCCAGGGTGGCTTTGCAGATCGTGCCACGGATCAGTGTACTGAGGGTCATCAAATGGTCCTTTATTCCACGCCAGGGACGTGTCCCGTCATTGCCCATTTTTAGTTCTTCCAGCGCCTGACTTCGTATCGTGTCGGCATCCTTGTTGGCCTCAGGTAGATACTGAATCAGTATGTCACCTTCTTCATTTTTCGTCGTCTTGATTTTGTACGCCCACACCGCTTTGTCGGTTTCCGCTTCCGTGGGAGTTGGTCTTCGGATCACCGTGTTCCATCCATTGTTGTTTTCAATTCCGCTTGGCATTTGGTCCTTCCCGTAGACTAATCCATCACATTGCTGCTTATCTTTTGGCTTGTTCTTCAACAACGCGACCGCGATGTCCTTAGTGATTTTGTCTCCTTGGCAAAGAAGAGGAGTAACCTGCTCCTCGAGAGGAATCGTGTGGTTTATTTCTATTTCGCGAATCATGAGTAGAATATAAATGAGGACGTTTCCCTCAGTTCAGTAGACACAGAGCCTACGATACTCGAACGTGAAGATACATTCGGAGAAGACGTTCCTGTAGTCGTACCGGTGCGTTGCCGTTCCACACCGTATTACTGTGCGATAGATTTGGGCAGCATTGATCAAGGAGAGGATTTGTCGTAGGGGGTTGTCGACGCGTCGTTGGTGGCGCGCAAGATATGTCACGTTTGAACTCCCTCAGTCGTACAACTACTTGTACCAGTAAGATCCTTTACTTTCATTTTATTTAAATCTGTACAAATTTTGCCGTGAGAACGATGTTGGGACGAGTGCCGTACAGGCCATATTGTTAACCTAGTACTACTACCTGCATTGGTCCTGATTTGTTGTGATGGATAGCTGCTTAGATATACTATTCTAGTGGGGTGCATCCCTGGCAGCCTATTTGATTACAACAATTGCTTATAGCATTCCCTGGAAGCGTCTTAAGCAGTCATTCTTTAGAAGGTCCTGCTGGGTGGTGCTGTGCATACTAGTAGTGGTGTCTGGCAAGGTGCTCACTGGGATCTTGTCCCCCCCCCCCTAGTGTGTTCCTTTCTAGATCATCTAGTGTTTGTTGTATCAATATCATCTCTACTGACTCTTGTGCAAGTGGCTTGGGATGTTGCAGTCATCTGCCTGGTTCTTCTGTCAACTTTTATGTAAATTTTGATATCTTCTGGTGTGTGAAGTGAGGGAGTTTGTAAATAGCTGAGGTTCTTCAGCATAAACCTCCTCCTCTGTTGCTTCCCAGAGCAGTGCATTCATGGTGTTATAGGATGGAATATATCCAATATGATCACAGAAAGGCAACCCTACAGTTATGTTTGATCTGTGGTGTACTTTGAGTAGCATATCTCTCCACATTCTGATGTGGATTCCAGATCCTGTTGTTTCAATAGCTCTCATTAGATCATGTGTGTTTGGGGATGAACCTATCTTTAGTTTAGTGTAAATAGGTAGCCAAAAAATTCTTATCTCAGTTCCCTATGTTTCCTTAATAGATAGATATCCATTAAGAACACTTCAGATCCCCTTAAAGATAGTGTACATAGCCAAAAGCCAAGAAATCTCTGGCAAGTCTCCATCGGTCTCTTCTCCCTTGTGTCATAGTTGAGTTCATTGGAGGGTAAGTGCAGAGAGATAGAGTAAGCTGTCAAACATCTACACTAACTGCAACATTAGGCCTCATGCCTACTCCCATATAGGATTTGCATCCAGTGAGGAAATAGTTCTGCCAGTAGGATGTGGCACCTCCAATACATAGTCTGCTTGTGGCAAGTCCTTGGTCATCGCAAACAAAGGAGGCTCCTCTAAAACGAGGATCGACTTCTACTACACACTCCAAATTTCCAATAGCAGTCTTCATATGTCCAATTCAGTACCATTGCTTGTGATCTTTGGAGTTACTTTCCCTCTTTGAGAGAGTCATCCATAACAGCATTGGCTGTTTCAAAACCAAAGCTATTATGTGCAGGCGAAGGTCTTGCCAAACTTTGATAGGGACTTTAGTGTTCTATCTATGGTAGATCTGGTTGCCCAAACTGTACTGGGGGCTCTGCTCCCGAACGCATCCAAATATTCTTTACGAATATATTTCAATACAAGATCATCAGAGGCGCTTTCTTTGAGTGGCTCCTGTTGCTTGACTCTCCTGAAGGCACATGTATGTCCTCACAAGGTGAACTTCCTGGTATTGAAGTGGTGTTGGTAGCGCTTCATACTAGTAACCCTATTGTTTCAACTAGTAGTCTGGAGGAAGAGATAGACAAGAAAAATATCCGCAAAAACAATGATTATCATGAACAATCAAACAACAATGCTAAACGTAATCGCCAAGTTGATGCTGCACAACTGTTAGGCAATACTCTTGTCTTGGTAGCGATTGTTCCTTGCAGGCGATCTGCAATCAATAATTTTTGTCTCTCCTCCAATAGACTATATTGCTGCAAGGTACTAACTGCGCTGCTTTGATATCCGTTCTGTTGGATCGTTTTGTTTCATTGTATCTGCTTCATAAGTGATATCCATCCCGATGAGGAAGAAGCTAAATCCTCCTTTTCCTTGGTATGATCTTTCTCCTCGTTGACACCATCGCGGACATTGTTGGTCTCCATGATAGCATTTGCATCATCGTCCTCATTCTTCCCGTGACGATAGCATAGGCAGTCCACGAGGAAACCTGCCGAGGGCCGGTTCGAACAATACGAGGTGACACACGGCGTGGACTTTCGAATCGAGACAGACGTCGGGGTCGATGTGACATGATCTGGACTATTTCCGACTCCGTCGGGTTCCTCATCGTGGTCGACATAGCAATAATCATCACCGGGATAGCTCTCACCAGTCATCGAAAGAATCGTCGACGATACCGAAACCTGTTGCCGAACCACGGTATCGGTATCGGTATTGGTAGACTTGCTGCTTTGCAAAGTGCCGACAGCCAGGGGTTCGGAATCGTTAGCATCGGTGCGGTTACTTGACGTAGTAGTCGTTGTTACGCTTACGTTCAGTTTTAGCACATCACCGAATCGATGGTCTGACCAGCATCGGTAACATTCAATTTCTTTGCACCCGAATCCGTCGACCACTAGCGTCGGTAGAGAACAGTGATCCCATGATACCAAGACTATGTTGCTGCGGTTGTTGCTATTGGTGATGTTTATGTTGGTGACGTTGCCTGCTGCTGGTAATGCTAGAATGCTGAGATCAGGGCTTCCTGGTCCTGGTTTACCCGATTCAGAAGCATGAACAGCGGTCTTTGCAATCTCCAGCGCTGCTTCCTTGGTGTCACCCTTGCAAAAGTCGGCAACGATCGGCTGCCTCAGATAATCGGAGATGGGTAGAAGCGTTTGGTATTCCCTCCACACCAGTGATTGGCCGGTGGGATCTCTGGCAATGGCAAAGTAATCGAGCGGATTGTTTTCTACGGCGTCTTCTATTTCTTGGGCTGTAGGCGGACGTGTGGCAAACAGGGCGTGAAACTCGGGCCATTGCTTGGCTTTCACGAGGGAACCAAGATGCTCGGCCCGATCCCACCCCTTCGCATTCAACTCGTACAAGATCGTTTGCAGCCGCATTCGTTGCCGCAGGTTTAAGTTACCCCCGTTTGGTGACCACGACGAAGAACTTTCAACGAATGCTGAGGCGCTATCTTTTTCTCCGTGTCGTATCAGCCATACCTCTCCGTACTCTGTGGTGGTCGTTGTGGTTTCGGTTATCGGTTGTGGAATTGGTTCGAGGACAGCGTTGTTAGTAGAGTAAAATCTAGTGCCAATTGTCATCGAAACCGATGCATCGAAAAAGAATATTTTGCAATTAGTACAATGAGCCAGGACTAGGACAAGAAAAGCCATTGCCGTTGCAGAGACAACGATCGCGAGAAACCCAGACGAGCTTTTTCTTTTTATAGTTCTTTCGCCCCTAGATGTTGCGAGTACCATTCTATCGGAAGTAAACAGCCCATAAACCCTTGGCGTCGCCACTAAGAGTGCCGTTGTTTCGTTGATGCCGCAGTGCGAAAATCCGTTCCTGTCCGAGTTTGCATCACCAAGATCGCCGCCGCCTCCCTCCTCGATCTCGTGAAGATACGGAATAGTCTTGAAACCAATTGCCATGGTGAACTTTGACTCAATAAATACCCAACACCAATCGGTATTGCCCTCAGTGTTCCAGCCGATTGTCCCTCGATCTAAAGCATTCCACTCCTCATAGTCCCAACCGATTGTTCGCTTCCGCGGCACGAAATGATTTCATCAGAAGTGATCTTGTACACATGGTACGAACCGGTAAAGTACGAGTACTCGTACCGTGTACCGTAGAAATAGAAAAGAAAAGAGAAAAGATACTATTTCGGTTTTTACCCAAAAAATGCCGTTACGACTCGCCAGTCGCACCGCCGCTTATTGACTCATTTGACTACTCGAACTACTGTAGTATTTTTTATTTTTTACCACCCGACAGAATTTTGAGAATTGAGAATCAAAGCATCGTCATTCGATTCGCGATCTTTTTGTCTCCGGCACGCTGTTTAAAATTAAAAATCCTCCGACCTCAGTTCACTGAATCCCTTCGATAGAAAAGACAAGAGAGAAAGCCCATTTTGGAGGTTTGCTAGTGTAGCACTATAGAAGTGTAGAAAACAGATTGTATTACAGCGTGACATCAGTCACAACACGGAACAAGTCCTTAATCGCATCGCCCTAATCCACACCAAACCAAACCATATCCCGCCATGCCGATGCCTTCTTCCAGCTTGACCACCACCGACAAGTTCTTGATCCAGGCTATCTCAGGAACGATGTTTGCGATCTCGAGTTTTTGGCACGGTCACAGAAGGATCCGCTCGGTAGGGATATCCAATATTCCGTTGGGCTTTGCCTTGTTTTGCAAGTATGCCCGTCCCTTTGCCTCGACAGAAGCACGAGCGAAGGCACTTGACGAACGCAAAAAGTACGACAAGGAGGAAGCCATGCGAAAAGAATTGTCACTGGATGGAAGCGCTAAAGGTGGCGATCCCCTCGATGACCCGGCTTTCGCACGTGTCTGTCTGTTGTGGTCGGTGGCACAGCTCCTTTGCGGGGTGAGTGGCATCTTCGATTGGTACACTGATGTTATCATCAAGGGCGCCGTGGTATTCCATATTTTGATGACAGTCCAAGACTCGATCGAGACCCGCCAAATCGAGCTGCACAAGGAAGAACTCCAAAGGAAACGAGCGGAGAAACTCGAGCTCCAGTCCGCACAATTCTGGAAATTCCTTCTGCCGAAGCCCCTTTGGAGATGGCTGGGATATGAACGGATTGTAATGAGGGCTACAACTCCGTCAAAGCCATCAACCAAAACATCGGATACAGCAAAGAAGGAGCCAGCGAGTAATGAGGATCTCCGTGAAAAGGTACATACGGCCAAAAAGATCATCCGTGGAAAACGTGAAACGGCGGTAGATGATTTGATCTGGGGCGCCATCCAGATTGCCTACGTCGCATTCGACGTGACGCACAAACAAGCGATGGGAACGGCATTCGCGGTGTATTTGTGCACCTTTTTCGAAGATGTGTTGGATATATCAACTCTTGAGAAAGATGGCAAACAACAGCACAAGACGAAGAAGAAAATCAAATGGTTCAAAATTATGTGGGTTTCTTTGTGTCTCTACTACACTGGCAAGCTGTTCTTTTCGTGAATCAGAAGAGTAGGTTTCAATATATCGCACAGCATCAAAGAGATTGGCGTTGGAACGAATATGAACGTGTTAATTTCAACCCAGACACCCATAGAAACGAGAAAGAAACATTGCCAAGTTCATCAAATGGCCAACGGCTTTGAGGAAGTGTTTCGACTCAATGCTAGTGCGATTCGGATCCACAATTCTGTCGCCACCGAGTTGTAACAAGGCAATGAATTTCTTTTTGCTTCCTCTCCACAAACCAGGAAGTCTCCGTCGTTAGTGCCATTCCGCGTGCAGTCTGGAACCCAAATTATTTGCACCACAATACCTTTACGTCGCTGTCTTCGTAATCACAGGGCGATTGGTGGCAAGCCATCCCCATCCAGAAGACCAAAAATTCAAAAAGTTTTGAACAATGCTATCTAATAGTGCATTGTCACCATTGTTGTCCTTCTTGCCACAATGCTACTATTAGTACTACCAGTAGTAGTTTACGATTACTTCGGTACATTAAGAAAACATTATGATGTAGTACTAGTATTGTTGTTTGTTGCTCATACTAGCCTGTGAAATGTTAATAGGCTCTGTAGTGCATGTTGTAAGGGGATCTACAGTAAAGAGTGAGGTTATTCACTCACTAGCTACTTTGGTTTAGCTTCACATTGGTTATTGTGGTACAATACTTGAAGTACTAGTACTACTAATGCATTGCCTATATTGAAATTACATTTCACAGGGAATTCCAAATGTTGGAATTAAAGTTCAAAATGTTAGAATTAAGGTTCCCAATCTTAACTTAGTGACATTCCCAATGTCAGACTTAACGTTTGGGATGGCAGTATACAAATGCAGGCCTTTGTAGATCATAGTATTCCCCACTCTTCATTTGGCAGCGCAGTTGACATTTGGAATGCCCTACTTGGCCTTTCAGAACCACCAATGTCTGTGTGCATCCCCCTGCCCCTTTCAAATCCAACATTCAGGTGGACAATTTTGTGGGTTAGTTTTCCCATGAAATAACAAATGTTTCTAAAAAATGGTTAATTTTTTCCATAAAATTACCCATGTTTCAAAAAGGTGGGTTATTTTTCATGAAAAATAACCCAGGAACCCATGAACCTACTCATATGGTCGTGTACCCAATGCGTAGTAGTACTGCTGCAACTCGTGAGAGTACCATGAGTATGCAATGTATATATGTACCTTCCAGCAGTGTGCAGAAATGAAATTAATCCCACTCTCCAATCCAAATCGGTCATTTGATTTCATGTAAACCATATATTGGCTACAGTGTACTGGATTACCACTATCTTTAATCCATGGTAGCCAATAACCTGCTTGAAGAATTCTCACAGCCCTGGACTTATCAAAGAAACAAAAAGAAATTTGTTTTTAGTGCGGGATCCATGCAAACCCCAGTATACCATTTTTTGCAAATAAATTAGTTCCTTGACAAAAAACAGATTATTCATTTTTAACTACTAAAACAATCAGTCATTATTGTTGTGATGATCAGTTGTTCTTCTTGTTTAAGTATTAAGAGAACCAAATTGCTCCCAAGACTCAAATAAATACTACAAAGTCATAAATTTGTGATTGGCTGTTCCAAAATGTAAGAGAATGACCTACTAAATCCTCTCAAGACCCACAAATTCAGTTATTATTGTGAACAGGAGAACAACACTAAATATGGACACCTTTGGCTATAGTTATGGCTATGACAGGCATGATGCACCAAGCCAACAACAACAACAACAACAACAACAACAACAACAACAACAACAACAACAACAACAACGCAAACATTGACAGGAGCCTCTACAACAATATTTTGGTACCAGCAAATAGGCCAACTACTAGTACACCAATGAGAAGTCATTGTCATGATGATTGCTGGCTGGTGGTGGTACTAATTCTAAAATCAGCAAGCTTCTTGTTATTTTTCCATTATGATGCTGGTGGTGAAAGAGAATCACATTGCCAAAACTTGATAAATTATGACCTGTTCATTTCAAAGTCAACCAACAAAAAAGTCTCTGAAGTGTATACTAGTGCAGGGAAACATAGTATGTTAAACAAACTTCAACAAGTTTACAACAGTGAGGAAGACAATGAGTGCCATGTTCATTGCAATGTGCTGGCACTAGCTTAGTTTTTGCACCGTAGAAACTGTTTGAGTTAGCGAGCCAATTAAGAAAATGTCCAGAAACTAAATGAGAGCAATAGAATTACCATTTCTTGTTGTGACTACAGCTACAAGTACTCGTGCACTTGCATACCGAAGGGTGCCGATTACATTACGAAGGGAATTTACTGTTTTATGTTTCATCTCGGACATCAGAGTGAGGAAGACTAGTAGATTGTCACCATCTCTAGTGATAGCAGCAACAATGAACACGCTAGCGAGACCAACTCGCCGCCGCTCGGCTTTCTACAATCGGTTCCATCTCGCTGGAGCCTTTCTACTAGGATGCTGTTTTGCGACCATGGTGATGACGTTTTTCCATTTCACAACATTATCAGCATTTCACGATTTATCTTCTATTGATCTGTCATCCTCAACAGCTGTTTCGGTGCTCAATCACGTGAATGCAATGCAGCACATGATAAAACAGGAAGAGCCATCTCCGCAGCAACCAAAACCAGCGTTAGCAATCCAGAAGCTTGCCGCAAACCACAACAATCTCGTGCACCCAGTAGCGGGATTGGATTGTACCGAACACGATGGTCCACAGGAAATGGAAGATGCGCAAGAAATGGCTTATTGGCGGGACATTAAAGCAGATAATTCTTGGACATCACCCTTCTTGAAGAAAGATACCCGTCAATACTTAACTTTTGAACCAGACGGTGGAGGTTGGAATAATATTCGAATGAGCATGGGTGAGCTTTGTAGGGAAAAATCTTGTAAAGCTGCAATGTGGCACCTTTTGTTTGTAAATTGGGTTCGACAAACATGTTTTCGCGAGAAGATTTTGTCCTTTTATATTATCTGACTTTTTTGTCTCGCTTCCCATCTTTCACGGCCGCATCCTTTGTCTCACGTGAAATCCAAAAATAAACACCACCAACTTGAAACAGAAACCGTATTAACTCTCGCCTTGGCCATGGGTCGCGTCCTAGTTTTGCCGCCATCTCAAAAAATGTATTTACTCGGAAAGACTACCTTCAACTTTGCCGACTTTTTCCCGCTTCAAGAAATAGCGGAAGAACACCCTGGCCTTGAAATCATATCCATGGAGCAATTCCTCGAAGAAACTATGGGAACTACGCGAGATTTCAAGAGTGGAAAAATCGTTTATCCCCCTAACAACAAAAAGACGGCATGGGATGGAGATACGAGAGGCATCAAAAGTGTGCTTAGCCCGTGGCTGCGATCCATTTCCCTTAATCCCGACTGGGACCCAGAGAAGTGCATCGCAGCCTTTCCAAAATCTACAGACCAGAAAGATATCGATGAGCTGCAAACTATGATGGACGAAGTAGTGCTGGAAAAGGAAGGAAAGTTTGTCTCGAGGAAAGCCTTCGAAGAATTCGTCAACAAACCAACACCCGTCGACGCCTCGACCAAAGATCGACTGAGAGAATTTTTAGCCGAACGCTCAAAGCTATGTATTTATGACAAAACACATCAGGAGGCAGCAATAATTCATTTTCACGGCAAGAATGCCAAGACTCAGGAAACAGGAGGCCGCCTTCTGGTCCACTTCTATGCTTTTCTGTTCTTCCAAGACTGGCACACAGATCTATGGATGAAACGATTCGTGCGAGATCATGTGCGTTACATAGACAACATTCAATGTGCAGCAGCGCGAATCGTGCACAAGCTGCGTACCGGATTCAAGGAGCCCACCTTTGATAGCTTTCACGTACGCCGAGGTGACTTCCAATACAAAAATACGCGGCTCGATGCCGATGATATCGTTGCCAACTCAAAATCCGATATTCCTTCGGGTAGGACGGTGTACATCGGGACTGATGAACGCGAAAAGGATTTTTTTAAGCCCTTTAAGGAAAAGGCTGGATGGAACATTCTGTTCTTAGACGACTTCAAGGACGTAATCGGAGATAACATTAATCCGAATTATTATGGTATGATCGACCAGCTGGTGGTGAGTCGGGGAGAAACGTTTTTCGGCTGTTGGTTTAGCACGTTCACTGGATATATCATGCGTTTGCGAGGCTATCATTCGCAGTTACATTTGGATGATGGAAACCAATACGCAGACGCTTACAAAGAAGGCCGTCTCCCGAACAGCAATTATTATGCTCTGAAGGAACACAAGGAGAAGATGCATGATTACTGGGGAATCAAAAAATCATTTTATGCCCGAGAATTTCCTTCCTCTTGGAGAAACTTGGACATAGATGTGAAGTAGAGTATATACAATATACTATTTCCGGTCATTATTATGTCCTGATACTCTAGTTGCCTTTTTGACTGAAGATTACGGCTGAGACTCGAGTCAGTCTGCTCCCTCGCTTCACTCAAATTGTGCCTCCAGCGAAATGAGACGCAGAAGAGTCATCTATTCGGCTAAAATTCCGATCAGACTTCTCGTTGCTGTCCTTGTTGTTGAGAATAGTGATCAGCAGCTCCCAGTTACTATCACACTGTCTCAAAAGTGATGAGGAGGAAACGTCATTGGTTCCCGATCTTCGCGTGCGAATTAAATTGGCGCCCTGTATTTCTTGCAATACAATGTTGGCGGCTTCAAGGCAGCACTTCACTTTTATTTGTCTCCGCCTGGCCTGAGATCCTAAGATACACATTTTTAAAAGCAATGATACCGAACAAAAAAATTCAGTGGCTTCCTCGCTGGTAGAGGCAAAGTATTCTAGCATATGAAGTTCATAGTAATCGTGTTACTTATTCTTTAATGGTCACATGAAATATCTGTTTCGGTTGTGAAAGTAGTCAAATCTCTTGAAGAGATTCATTTTCTCTTCGTTTTCTTCATCCACAAAGTCGACCTAATCGTAAACCTCGCCCAGCTTGTGGTTTGACACCATTCGCCATCATTACTTCGTTGAGATCCCAAATTCTCACGAGCCCTCCGTATCACTTGGTACATGGTGCGAACTCTTCGTTGACTGCTTCGTATCAAATGATCGTTGCCTTCGAGAAGGAGCAGAGAGAGATGATTGATTGTCTACACCTATGGCTTTTGAAAACGTAGGGTAATGCTTGGACAAGGTTGTTGTAAAGCTGTGGTGCGACGCGGTATCTCTTCAGGCCCCACGAAAAACCTGCATTTTTCACGGCTATTCATTTCTAATCGGAAACATCTAGCTCATTTGATTACTACATTCGAAGTCGTTGTATTCATACCATCTATTATTCATTACACCTAGGTATCGGACATGATCCAAGTTATCAAAAATATCAAAAGTTTCGTTCAGGGTGAATACATCCCCGATTTCGCATGAGGATTGCCGCACGACTTCAGATCGACCACGACACAAGAAAAGTTGTCTGTGGAGCCGCATGATTTTGCATGATCGCACAAGTTCCTAGCTGCCCATTTGAATCGATTTGTATCGATCTTGAGTCTTCCCTCTTCCATCACGCACGAACTTGCTATGACTACGTGTGCAGCCTCTTCGTTATCCATAACATCCCAAACCCCGTCCGATGATATTACCAGGAACCAATCGTCTTTGCCAATGTCATACTCGCAAACTTCTGGTTCTGCTGTTACATAAGGTTTCAATGAGGCGTCACCCACACTTCTTGATACTGCCAACAGTCCTTCTACTCTCCATCGTCCCCAGTAAATGACTCTCCCACCCAACTCGCTAATACGCCTTGTTTCATCGGGCATCCCCGGTTTGTGGTCACGCGATAGTCGCACGACAGTGCCATCMCTTCGTACAACGATTGCCCTGGAGTCACCAGCATTGGCGCAAACGATTCTTCGTCCACCGACTAACGTAGCGGCACATGCAGTTGAACCGTCGGGATGACCAGTTGCCACAAAGTCTTCGTCGATTGACGTGAAGGCATTCTTCATGGCGTAACCGAGATCGAAGGGATAGGACTCCTCGTTTTTGACATAGCTCGACATCCAATCTGAGCAAAATTGGCTAGCTTTATCACCCCCATGTCCGTCGTAAATTCCTAACCAAGTCAGCGGCATCTTGAGACGTCGATTCTTTCGTTGTCCGTACGTCACTTCCACTCCGGCCTCGTTTTTTTGTTCGGTTGCCAAGGGAACGGGAGAAACTTCGACTTGGACGGCCCCCATATCCTCAATGACGTATCTGTGATCAATAATGGGCAAGTCCATGAAATGTGTGAGATACAATAAATATTAAAATGCGACCAGAAAATATGACATAATATGTATCTTGCAATATAGTTGTCAAACATTCCAAACGTTCACAATACATCCATAAATTACTAAGCAAAGACCTACCGATCTTCCATGTAATTGCGCCCTCCGAAATCGCTCCAGTGGCTAACATTGATATGTACGTTGTTTGGACGCAATTCTCTTCGTTCCATCATGGCCGCCGAACCCCCTGGTTGAGCATCTGTGCCATCCCCGATACTGGTTCGCAACGAGTACCGCACCCTAGCCAGGTCTCGTGGCAGAGACGCCGGTCGCGACGTTTGGAATTGTTGGTGCGCAGGATTTGATGGATCGTTAGGAGCGAGGGGTGTCGACATGTCGTGCTCGGATATCAGGGGCGACGGTGGGGACGTCGCACCCGTTTTATCGTCCCCATGTCCCTGATCGCCACTGCTGTTCATTACCTTGACTTTGAGTGGATTATTCCCAACCGCCGCCCCCTGGTTCAGCTTGTTCGAGAAATATCCATCTTTCAAAAACCTTGGCATGGCCAAACAAGATCGTGATTGTTCTCCCTGGATACGTTCACAGTGTTCTCGGTAGGATTCACCGGGATCTGAGTCGTAGGGATCGTGCTCCTTGTCTGGCAACTTCTTCTTGTCCGTGCGATTTGAGGCTGATTTCCGGCTGCTTCGTTTCCCCCGTCGTTTGTTGCTCGAAAGATCCCCTTCGTTGGAATCATCCCCATAGTCCGAAGAGGATTGGAAATTGTGTCCGCTTTGGTTACCCTTGCTGTTGCGGCGTCTTCTAGACTCCCATGCCGAAACTACTGGGTTCGTAGAGGACGATGACGATGTTCGCAATTTGTTCTCTGTCATCGATCCACGTCCCCCCGAGCGAGAACTTCGGCCACGCCGAATTGTTGCCATCGTGAACAATATATTTCTCCAGTCGAAACGGTATCAATCTATATAATATAATTTCCAGTCCTGTTTTCCGGGCAAAAGTTGTTGTATGAGTTCTCTTTCGTGTATTCCTTTCCTTGTCTCCCGAATTCCAATTGTGTAATGCTTGTAGAACGATAATTCAATGAAAATGTTTCTCGAAATCTTTTCTTCATCGGAATATGATGCTATCGCTAAGTTTTTGGATGCAATGCGTTCAATTCGAACCCCGTTGCGTTGCCTGCTCAATGAAACGTAATAATATGATGCAAGTACCGCGATAATCTGTTCCAATCGATTCAAATTGCTTTTCTCCTAGAAGCCGATCGTGGCAAGACGAAGCGATGAAATGAAATCAAATTCCAATGCCGTCCAATATGGGAACAATATGATGCAATGAGAGCGAGAAGGTTCGCAGAGAAGATAAACAATAATTTGCGTGGAGTATGATGATGATGGCGTCAGTGAATCGGATTGGGAATTCAAAAAGAGTCCTTTTTTCGATCGGCAAGAAATAATGTCCTGCTGCGGAATTGAAATCCTCGCGTTTCCGTATTTTGTATGTACGGACTCACTCACCAAAAACTGAATTTTTCGTTCCTCCGTGATCACCTTGGATGCAGATTGATTGTTTATGTTGTTTTTTCAGTGTCGCAACACCGGACTACAACTTCGGATCCAACTTTGCTCTTATCAAACTATATCTCTGTTGACGGTGTCTTAGGCGCTCTGCCTTTACCAACTTCGCCAAAGCTGTTGCAAGAAACTCGCAGCAAGAAAGGTGTTCAGTTGCTCTCCGACACCTTGAGATTGATATGACGACGGCAGAGCCCGTCAACACACCGGACGACAATTCTGTCGCGCGTTCAATGCTTCGTGTACCTTACGTAGGTACGTACCGAAGCGCACTCTGTGCCCTTCCTTGGCTTCGTTGTCCTATCGCACGCTGTTACCTCACGCTTTACGAGGTACGCTACGTACTCGTACCACAATAGGAAAAAGCACTCGCTCACTCCGCCTCTTTTTCAGTACGTTACGTACCGCCCGGTTCTTGCTCAAAAAGTAGTCTTCTTGATCGATAGTAAGTCGTGTGAATCGCAAAAAAGCACCAAACATTGGATCGCCGAAAACTAGAGTATTGAACCCTTCAACTCCGAATACGTCGATTGAGAAAAAATTGAGACTCGCCATCTTTTTACAGAAAAATAATAGAAAAACAGACAGACAGTACGAGCGTTCCGTGATTCATTCATCCGGGACCCGTTGGTGAACTTCGTCACGCAGTTCGCTCAGAGTGGCGGTTATTTCTAGTTTTTTTCGCATTTTTTAGTAACCGTTCTGATCACAATGGTTTGAGTGATATGGATTCAAAATGCCATGACGAACAGAACTTGATTTCGAAGTTCCACAAATCGAGAAAGGGTTCAACAGCAGCGTGATAACAGAAAAGTGAAAGTTGAGTACGATACCGATACTCTCAGCGAGTGCCCACGATTTGGAGTTCTACCATTCAAAAGGAAATTCAATTGTATAGATTACGCTTCGTTGCGTCGCATCGTTGCATTATTCGCCATTTGGCATCTGGACCACCATTCTTTCGATAGAAAGAAGATGACTGTCCCTTACCAGGAAGAAATCACTGACTACCTTGCCTCGGTAGGTAGAAACACGGACATACCTTCCCAGGAAGAAATCATCGGTCACATTACAACGATTAGTTCGAGAGCCTTTCATGAAGCCGTACCGCTGTTCTGCGCAGCGTATTCGTGGATTTCCGCGAAAATGGCATCTCTATCCCTTGCCGCTCCTTCTTGGCTTTCCACTCTTCTCGATGATTTTTTCTTTAGCTTTACCATTGGAGATAGGTTTGATTCGAATAAGGAAATCAACACTGCAATTGTTTTGCTGTTGGCATGGTCATACTATAAGACTTTCCGGACGTTGTTTTTGGGTATACGTTTTATTTGGAGGACGATGCTATGGATTTACTGGGTAGTTCGATTGGTCGTGGCAAATATCTACGGCGTTTTCTTCAGCGCAGCTCAATTTTTCTCAGCTTCAATCTTCGGCAAAAAACAAGGCCACGAATACAACGACGATGGCAACCATGACCAGCGACTGCGATCCGCTGCTGTACCTCCAAAAAATCATGGTACAAACGAAAACCCACATTCTATGCAGAGTCTGCATCAGCACCGTCAGCTGCAAAAACCTGATGATGTCCCGCAGCAGAGAAATGCGGCATCCGCCAACATGGCATTGCCCCTGATGGCTCATCTCGAACAGCCAATAACAGTAACATCCCCGGCATTGTCTCGGCAGCATCCACAAACAGAACGGGCGCCGTCGATGGTGATTCCTCACATGGAGCAGAAACAGTCGACCTTAATCGCGCCGCCGCCAGGCGTGGTTCGTTGCGACAACAATAGCAGCCCGGTGGCTCCTTCGTCATTTGCTCCCATTGCCTTCCCCGTCGCTCCAATTGCGTCCTTTCTAAACCGACAAGTGTATCCGCATTCGTCCATAGTTGCGAATAGCGTTACAAATTTGAATCCACAGCCGCAGGCGCCCATCTTTGTCCCTACCTCGAACGCACCCGTCGCCACCAATATCAAAGAGGAGGAAAGAGATTTGCGCGTACAGAGCGACAGCGAAGATGATCACGATGGGGACTGGAACGAACAGAATTGCCTTCGGGTCATGCATAGTGTCAACGCCACAAAAAGCAACGAACACAAGACCTTGACGAACCATACCAACATGAAAGCAAAGCCAATGATTCAAAAGTCGTGCAAGCGGAAGCGGGAAGCCACCGAACTAGCAGCAAAACGCACAAATGCGTCAACTACTCAGCAATCAAAGAAGCAGCGCATCGCAAGGGCACGAGCCAACGCCAAAAAATGGGCGAACGAGACCTTTGCTGACTAGTTCACGGGTCAGGGGAGATATGAGTGGTGAAGTTCATAGCCACGGGGTAAGGAATGAGCAATACGGCTCCAATCAAGATAAAATATGAATATATGGTTTGAATGAATTATTGTTGGTGTCATCGTCTTTATCTGATGACAAATATGTAAATATGCGAAGAAACATTAAAAATAGACTTTGCTTCTATCATTTTTATAATAGATCGGCTAGAAGCATAACATTTCTTCTTTTCATCCATTTGGTCTCTATCATCCACTTTGCACATGAGAAGAATTTGAAACATATCAAATATCATCAAATGGAGTTTTGAAACCATATGCGATTTCCGAGAAGGAGGGAAGCGTTTCGGGTGATCGGAATTAATATCACAAACTATGTTTTTCCAACTAGAAGAACAAAATCTACTTTGCAAGCCTTATCGATCGGTTAAATCTTCATGAGGGTTCATAGAAGAATTGTCGAAAGCAGGCTGATAAAATGAAAACGTTGAAAAGAATGCCTGCAGGCGGCGGTCCAAAAGGCTCTCAGCTGTATTTTAGTTCCGGCGTGCAGCAATACAGAGCAAATTAGAACAGCTCATCGTCTTCTTTCTTTCTCTTACTCGAAGCCCCTTCATTTATGTCCCGATAATCCTTTATGTCAATGCTATCACCATGGCTGCTCATTGAGTCGTCACATTTCTCACTGCTGCTGCTGCCAACCGCGTTGTGGAGCAATAGCTGTCGCGTAGTGGAGTCCAATCGTTCGGGATGAACATACAACGGGATTTCATTGGCGCAAAAATTAGCGAAGGGTCTCATACCTACGTAGGGTGTGACATCATTTTTGGGATCAAAGACGTGTATGTCGTTCCAGAACCCAAAGATGCTCCTGGTTGTAGCTTCCAACAACAGTGGATTTTGTTGGTCGTCACCATTTGTGTCGTCATTGCTATTGGTAACAGGCTTCATTTCAAGCACGTAGGCACCAAAGACAAAGTGTAGTGCGACAGTAGAACCCGTTGCACCAATCGTTGCAAACGTTCCTAGTGTCACTTGCCGTGCCGAGGGCAGGTCGCCATTCTTTAGAAAGACTAGGGCTGGTAAAACACAAACACTCAAGAAACATCCTGTGATGCTGACCATTTTGAGTCTGGAAATCAATTCGCCTAGGGGTGATGTGTAATCGACAGATAAAAGGTAATCGTCTGTGTCCTCACTTTTCTTCTCGCCGCATAAAACCTTCGAGGACGATATCCATCTTTGAGATTGCTGGTTCTGTAGTGATAATCGCTGTTGCATTGGTACGGAGCGGCGGTTGAACGAGCCACAGCCATATCGTAGATGATACCTCACACCACTCTTTTCAAAAGTCGAATAACCCTTTTGATTCGCCGCATTGACAACGCCAAAACCTCTTGTCGGTTGCAATGTGGAGCCAATGCCAAATATATTGCTGATATTATCCGTTATGATCCCGCCAATCGTAGCATTGCTACTTATGAAAGAAGAATGGTGGCGACACCGTAGCAACTGCAAACGATGGGATCCCTTTTTGACAACAGAAATTATTGTTGCGGTCCCAGCAGGTTTTCGAAGCAAATCCATTTTCACCAGTTTTGTCCATTAGATTTGAAGAAGTTTCCGAGGATTTTGTTGCACTAATGTACGGTAGGGCAACCTTGACGTTTGACGGATTGCCTCTTCACCGCATGAGTACGAGTAGTACAGTAGCTTACAGTGATAGTACGTTAACTTGTTGTAGCATTAAAATCAATTGGGTGATTCCCGTTCTACCGTATGGAAATCCTAAATTTGATGGACAGACAGACCAAAATTCTATCACATGTTGTTATCGTACGTACTCGTAGTCAATGTCGAGCAGTGATAATGTAAGAAAGCTTACTCTGTACTTCAAACTAAGAAGTGGTTCTTGCCCTCAATAATTATTTGCGGTAACGATACGTTTCCATAATTGTGGTTTTCGAAGTCATTTTACCGTTTTCTGCTACTGTCTCTTCAACATTCAATGAGAGGATTGTTTCAGTCGCACTATTCAAGCGAAGAAGCAGAAGTGTTATCAATGGCTTGGCAAAGCGCGGAGTATAACTCGTGATCACTTCTTGCCTCTAGTCCTCGCCACTTTTCCAATGGACTTTGATCAGTTCGTCGGGACAAACTCATGGCAAGAAATATAAATTCGATGAGAGGGATAAATGATAGATAATAGTTTCAGTCCCGGTGCGAGAGTCTCTGTTGTTCTGCTCGCTGCTACGAAACAATTAAGAATCACATTTAAATGTAAAATCAATGAGAAATTTGTGATCAGAAATTATTTAAGCCGTCGTTTAAGAAATATCCCCAGCGGACATAAATGTGGCTGAAATTATATCTTAAAATACATCGTTGTAAAATTTTGCAAGACTCAAACATCGTTGCCACGCAATCAACTGTTTAACTCACTCAGCCGTCTCATGTCTGTGAAATCTAAGTTCACATCCCATGCATTACTATCAACGCTCACCCCATAATCACGTTCTATTTCATTTGCCAATCCTTTCCCTTCTACCTGCAACAATTTCTTTCGTTTTGAGGTTAGGCATTGACTCAACAACTAATCATTGATAGCTCCCTTGACTAATTCATACTGTGATATTCGAATCACCCTCCCTTCCAAATCGATACAATATGAGTTACATCCATATGAAACGGTACGCCTTCTTTGCGACGATTAGTTTTCATATATTATTGCAGTCGATCACATCGGCAGAAATCTCTCTGACAAGCGAAGGGGACAATTTTGTCGAAACAGATACGAGACGGATGCTGCGAGCCCATGGTTCAAATGCTCAGAGAGTTGGAAAAACACGTAGTAGGGAATCGAATTTGATATTCGAAAATACTTACATTTCTTCCAGCAGAAGAAGAGAGAGGATCCGCAAAAAGGAACGACCAATAGCAATAGTGCTTGAAGCTTGGGATGTTGACCCATCGAAAAATAATAATGATAACGATAGAAGAGATGGAAGCCAGGTATGTTTTGATCTAGCTATTAAGAAAGAAAATCGCGCTGCGAAAAAACTAATGTCTCGTATTGGAGAGAAGATTATGTGTTCTTCTCTATGGTTTCTAACTTTTCTTGCATTCGAAAATGGATGGAAAATAATTCGTTAGGGGTCAGAGCAACCCGCTTCGTCACATACCAAGGAGACAGTTGGCTTGGGAATAGATCTCACGGAAGCAAGTATTAACGAGAAAATCCCAAACCAAATATCAGAAACATTACCTTACTTTACAGAACACCCGTCTGAAAAAATAGCAGCAACAAGCACTCCAACATTCTCTCCGACAACCTATTCCCCAACATATTCTCCGACAACACTTTCTCCGTCTTCCTCTGTCGACGATGAGGCGAACGATGAAGAAGGAAGATTTCTGTCGCAAAGAAATCGATGTGCAACGTTTTCGAATCGAAGGAAATGCAAGAATACGAATGGCTGTAGCTGGACGCCGAAGGGGTGCGTTAACACCCCCTCTACACTTAAATGTTTGAAATGGAGCAATAAGAAACGAAAGTGTCGCAACAAAGGCTGTCGATGGAACACTTTGGCACTAATATGCACTGGGATTGACGATATACCAAAGGCTCAGGACCCACAACATGTAATGGCACAAACAGCATTTCCATCGCAAAGCCCGACAGATGCACCTACATATGCACCTACGACATTGTCTCCAACAGAATCACCATCTAAGATTTCGCGGTATGAAAGTGCCTCTGCGACAACTTCGGTTCCACCAATGTCATCTTCATCAGTCAAGTCAGAAGACATTCTTGTGCGATGATTCGTTCAGTGAGTCGGTGGATAAAAGGCATCAGTTTGTCGGTGTTGGGTTTCAAGCCGATAAGGAAGATCGGAAGACAAGGGCAACCAATCCGGTGTTGAATAATTTTGTCTGGTGATCTATAAAGATGTAAAGTAATATTGTAGAGTAAAGTTGAATAAGAAATAACCATTCAATCCAAACGTATTTTCAACAAGTTTTGCTTTGCGCTACGAGAAATAACAATATGGTTGAAACTGTGCATATTACCTCGACGTCGGACGAGTTACGTTAAACTTGTGGCCTTCGCAAGACATCTCAGGTATCGCAGGGAAAGGCATGTTCCAAAACAGAAGCTATAATTTGCTCCAGAGGTCCTGTTACTGCATGCCTTCGTTCTAACGCTTTGTTCTTGTTGTTGTGATGTTAGCGGTAGTGAAAGCTCAGCCGAATGCTTTGATTCATTCTCATGCGGCAGCTTTCTTTGCTGCAGTAAGCATAGAGATTTGTTCGTCTGCAAGAACGATTTTTTCGGAAACAGCCGTCGCAACCGTGTGATAACACTCCAAGTTGCGCCGAAGAATTTGCGCGAGAGCTGTTGTGCGATTGTGGAAATCATGAAGTTTAAAGCGAAGGTCTTCCATCCGCTTTTGGTCCTCAGGACGGGTGGCGGTTGTGCTCATGTGTTGGGTCAGTATTGGTGCCTGTGTGACCTGATCAAGACGAATCGATGATGGCTCTCCCCGCTGCGTTTGTCGTTGTTGCTGCGATGACAACTCCTGCTCTTTCTTCTTGTCCTGTTGCTGCTTTTGTTTTTCCAGCGCAGAAGAGGATGCCTGTCCCGCTTTAGTTGCATTAGACGCATCCGCAGAACCTCCGGCTCCACCACGGTTTCTATTACTTGAAATGTTATTTGCGTTCGACTCAGCAGTTCCCAGAGATGATTGAGCTTCCGTTCCGTCAATTTTCGTTCCGGTCAGCAGAAGTTTAAGAATAAGATCGAGTTCTGCGAAATCTTTGAACAACTCATCCGAAGACGCCAAGACTTGTTGTCTCTTGTACAACAATGGTTGCTGCTGATGAGTCAATGCTATACCGGGATCCAATTCACGCAGCATTTTTTGAATTTGCTTCCAGGATTGTTCATTTTGACTTATGTGGGTGTTGGAATTGGTGTTCGTATTATTTGTACTTCTTGGTGCAGCGCCCGTAGATGAGGATGAAATTTTTCTTTCCAAGTCCCCACGAATTTTCAATAAGCGGTCGCTTACACAATCGATGTTACTAGCGAGTGCACTCGATGATGAGTTCCTATGGGAAATTCCTACTCGAGATTCCAGAACGGAGAGCCGCCGTTCCAGATCGGCTGTGCCATTAGTTCCCATGGCTCTCTATTGTGGAGTCGAAATAATTGAGAATAGTGGGTTGCGTGAAACGTTATCACCTTTCGGTTCTTTTTCTAAGTCTCAGTTCACGGCAATTGGAGTTGTTTTTCCTTCCGACAAGGTAGAGTTATTTTGTGTTTGTCGTTAGTGTTGTCTATCTGATATGGTAGAGATATTGTTTTGCTGTTGATGCAGAGTGCTGAGTAGAGGCGGTTGTACGTACTTACCGTACGGCAGGAGTGACCCTTGCCCTGCCGTACGGTACCCTACCGTATGTACTCTGCATCCAATTACTGTCGTAACAATGACCGTACCGTACGTACTCGTTGAGCAGCTCAACATTTCCATGTACTCAGCTCGCGTGGTATTTTTTAGGTACACGATTTGTTGAGTAGATCGCGCCGTACAAACACTAGTTATTTTTTGCCAAAGTACATGCACCTCAACTGGTTACAAAGCGCGCGGACTGAATTTTGTAACCAGAAATTGTAACCAAACTCTTCCCTATAGAGAGACCCTTCTTTTCTCCGTGATACTACTAGTAGCCTGGTTACATTTTTTTTTCAGTCTGGTTACAAATCTGGTTACAAAAAGCGCATCTGCGCGCTTGTAACCACGCGACCTCAACAGAACTGTCTTGGTTGCTCACAATTTTGAGTACTGAATAGTACTATTAGTAGTACAAAGTACAAGTACTCCGAAAATCGTGACCAGTTTTCGATGAAAACTGAATTCTTTTGTTATTCTAGTACAAACTCACGTAGAAAATACCGTAGAAATCACGATTTGCAGGGGGAAACAAGCAAAAAAGCAAGCAAAACAAGCAAAACACAAAACAAGCAGCAGCAGCAACAACAAGCACCATGAGGACCAGAAGCAACAAGTCAACAACGCCTCCGGCGAAGGCTCCGCCGTCAAAGAAGAAGAAGAAGAAAGACGATGACAGCGTCGACTGCGGCGCGTGGCCAGAACAAAGGGAGATGTTCAAAGAGTTGTCTCAACAACACAGCGCTCAAAAGAAAAACAAGCTGTTCTCCTCACAGCAAGATCCAAGCTGGAAGAGCATTGGTGCTGAGATAATTTGGGGGGAAGAAGAAAACACCTGTCCTGGAAGAAAGAAGGCGCCGCCGGCGCCGGCGCCCAGTCAAACAAGCCCAGCACCAACAAGAAGAATCCAGTTGGCACCAGAAGAAGCAGCAGGAGCAGCAGCTGCAACAAAACCAAGAAGAGTATCTCTTGATCAAGCAGACAAGACCACAGCAACACCAGCACCAGTGAATCGAAGACCACCGATCCGTAATCCGTACACAATCAACAAGAAACGCACTGGCGTATCCGCGATACCAAACAAGAGGAACAACAACAAGAAGAAAGCTGCTGCAGCAGCAAAGAACAAGAAGAAAAAAACAAACGCACCGGCACCAGCACTGGTGCCAGCAGCAGCTGTCGCCGCTGGTCCTGTTGCCAAGACTGCTACTACTACTAATGTTGTGGAATCGTCGAAAGCACAGCACCTTGAATATGCAAAGAAGCTGATAAACAATCCAAACGCCTTCAACACACTTGGAAGTGATGAGTATGCAAATGCAGAATCAAGCAGCAAAGGGTATGCAACTAAAAGACAAGGATGCCTCAAACGCTTTGTTCAAACAATCCTTGAGGCTACAAATCCGGAAACAAACAGTCCTGGAGACTCGGTGATGTATGAGATGTTCAACAAGAAGGTTCCTATGAACGACGGGTTAACTGAAGACTACTTATTCTACAAGAATGTCGGAGGCAAGCCAAATGCTCTAAAGAAGACCTTGATGAATCAAGCCCTCATGATTTGGACTCTTAACATCAAGAATGCAAAGACCGGGGATCCTCTGGATACAAACACTCATTCAGTGTATGTAAGAGTTCTGTTCTCTGCCTTCCACGAGAAGGGGATCCAGTTCAATGAAGCCGACTTCAAAGGCAAGGGATCATTCCTTAGCGCCGTAAAGCTTGATTTCAACAAGAACAAGAGAGCTGTTGACCCAACGCTGGGAACCAAGAGGACAAAGGCTATCTTCGATGAGTATGGGGATACGAAGTTCATGAACTTGCTTCAAACTGGTGTATACAAGCCGTATTCCAATATGAAGGACTTGCTGAAGATCCTCACCATGGAACTGGGCCGACAGTTTGGGCTCAGGGGAAGGGATGAGATTGTCTTTCTTAATTGGAGCTTCATGAAGCTTGGAAGCTTCTCCCATGGAAAAATGGAGAATGATCGATATGTAATCATTGCCCCGGGGGGAGGCTTCGACAAGGGGAATCAGCTCAGCTTGAGCAATCCAACTGTAAGTGACATGTTCCCCAGCATGGTAGTTGAGGACAAGACCAATCCGTATTGCATTGTAAAGCTGATCTTCTTCTATAGAGAAAGATGCAATCCGGAACAGCAAAGGTTCTTGTGTTATACCAACGAGCACAGACACAAGGATAGTCCGTATTATTTCAAGTCTTCGATGCCAGTAGGCCAGGATGCTGTAAGGAAGTGGGTCCGTGAAGTGGCACAGGCTGCTGGTTACAAGGATGCAGACAAGTTTACTCCTCATGATAACCGACATCGATGCTGTACTGTGTTAGCATCTGATGTGAATGTTCCTGAAAAGCTTAAGATGAAGCATCTTAGACATAAGAGTGCCAAGTCGTCTCAAGTTTACGACCATGCGACCTCAACCACTCAGCATCGTGTACAAAGTACACTTCATGCTGGCTTCAATTACAAAAAGCAGAAGCCTCGAGCCCCATCTTTGCCCCCACCGACAACGCAAATCGTTGCTGAGCTGTCGACTGATAAGAAGAATGTTCTTTCATCATCCCCTGGTACTGAATTGAAAGTAGAACTTCTTGTAGAGCTAAAAAAAGCATCCGCAGTTGTTGCAGCAAAAAGAAAAGCTGCTGCTGAAGCTGTCGACGAGTCATCTTCATCCCCACCTGGTGGTGGTGGTAGTAGTAGGACCGGCAAAAAACATCGACCCGACCTTGTCGACAAGACAGTCAGTGATTTAAACAGTAAAATTGTGACGCTCACGAGCGAATTGCAGGAGAAGAAGCTTGCAATTGGCATTCATGAGGGGAAGGATGAGTTTAAGCAAAAAGAGCTTGAATGGGAGAAAGAAAAGACTGCTTCCCTTCAAAAGAAACTTGATTCAGCAGAGAACCAGATCAAGCTTCAACAGCAGCTCATTGCAACGTTGCAGTCGTCGTTGCAGCAACAGCAGCGACAATCGATGTGCCTTATTATGTAGTAGCAAATCTGGCGACAGCAGAAAGCAGCAGTTTGTGGTGTTGTTGCTGCTTGCTGGTGTATTTAGTACGGTAGTAGCGAGCTTGCTCCTGCTGCTGAAGAGGAGCAAAAAGCTTCCAGCAATATATCTGCGGCAATACAATTAGTAGCGTGAAGAATAATATATTGATTTCTAATCATTGCTGGATATAAAGGTAATGATCATTAGTCTTTGATTCGATGCTGATGCAGTTCACCTCAAGCCAAGCACAATAAATGAAAGACTGAACCATAAGTACGTACTACGTAGTACTGATTTAAGGCGTGGATTTTGCTCACAAAATAACAAATTTGAGCAGTCTGGACCCTTGATTTCTAATTTTCTCGTAGAATCCTACGTGAAATTTGTACCAGAAACTGAAAATCAGTCCATTTTTTCATCGAAACTGGAGGAAAAGCAGCATCCACCACCAGCGAGGGGGAACCAGGGAGGGAAAAGAGCCCAATCCCCTAGATTGGAGGAAGCAATGCTTGTAGTTCATTCGCCGGATCCAGGGAGGGACCGGGGAGGGAAAAGAGCCCAATCCCCTATAT